TGACTTTGCATTTTACGTAATGCGAGGTTAATACTCATTACGTAAAGACACATTCTATTACGTAAGGCTTCCGTAATGACCTTTTACAACTGTTACGTAAGATTATCATATGTTACGTAACCATTACGTAATGCCTATTGCGTTTTACGTAATACAACCTGTGAAACCTGCTATAGCAGGTACAAAAATTCAAGTTACCTTACTTCAAGTTACCATAGGAAATCCCTATGAATATATGTATGTGTTATATATGTATATGAACCAAATCGATTCGATCCAACGTTGGTAATTATTTGAACTTTGAACACCCACCCACCATATTTTATAAAATGGACCACTTCGAATTTGTTTGATTAAAAATTATAATAACATACCCTCATAGAAAATATATATTTGTTGGGTGGCTAATTTAATTTAATACCATATTACGATCTTTCCACTTGTCTCACTACTCTCATTAATTGTACCTCTAGAAAGTTCATGCCATGCACATTTCATCATACGGCGACACATAAATATTTGATCGTTGAGTATGTGATTTTGAATTACTTGCAAAGCGAATATTTGTAATTGGTGATTATTTCTTCATCAAAATCCAACACTCTACTCGAGTAAAGAATATATGACTACTCGAGACTTGGCAAACAAGATTGGATTGAAAAAAAAAACTAATTCTCCTACCTTATTGGCGTTCCTCTATGTACTTGTCATTAGAGAGATTGGCTAACTTGTTGTGTTCTTACCTCTACTATATATCACTTTGAGTTTAACTACCTTTCATTTGCTAGCTTTTAGTCGTTTGTTTTACAATACTAGTCATTTACACATTATTAATTACTCGCCTATTTATCGCTATTTGTCGTAATATAGAGTTATTGGTATTAAGTGGAATAAACATTATGTACCATGATTTTTAGTTTGTTTGTCCGTCTACGTTCCTCGATCACTAATTTAAAATCAAGATAACTAGTGGTTAGAAAATGGTATTGATCTTTGGTTTTCAAAATAACACATATATATTTACATAAGAAAATGAACTATATAAGACCAAATATGTAGTTTACAAAGTTTGAGATGAAGATTTTGTCTCTATTCATTTGTATTTATTGACAAGGAACCCACAGCACAACCCACCATATGTAACCACAAATGCATCAAATCTCCAACCATATCACTCAACTCAATGTAGTCTTGTATATACATAGTTTCAATGTAATTTCCTAAAAATATATTAAAATCGATTAAATTAATTATTTTTACGCATATATATACATACATATGCATTGTTGTCAACAATAAAACAAAACAACAACCATGGTTGTCTTGTCTCCAACTCTCCATACCCTCCTGCCTATAAAGCCTAGATTTATATATAATGTTTTGCATAATTCCAAAAAACTAAAAATAAAAACATAACAAGAAGAAGAAAAAAAAGGAATCAATAATAAGAATATTTATATATTTGTAGGAACAAATAAGATTGATGGAGGAGCGGATCGATTCAATATAATGGTTATCATGGGGATGGCTACTTGCTTTACCCCGTGGGGAAAGCAACAATGGGGCAAATTCAAACCCTAAAACCCAACAATAAAAAAAGAGACATTGAAGTGTATGTTAATAGTTTTCCTTCCAAAAACATTCAAACTAGTTTGAAACACTAGCTAGGTAAGTGTTGTGGCAAATTGAGTGACCAAAGTATGGTCCATATGCATCCTAGCTAGAGCATATGATCTCTTGAGATTTAGATTCCCAAAAAAATATGTACACGACGTGGAAGTCTCGTACTTGATGGACGGTGGAGACGAATTTGTAATGACACGAGGAAAAAAATCAGACCCGATATTGAAAGAAAAATAAGGGATTGCTTACATGATAAATGAACTAAAATGTTGTAGGTACGGATCTTGGGCACCCGGATTAACGTAACAATATAGAGTTTAGATAGGGATTTAGACTGGTTGAGAGGACAATTGGGCAGAATATGATGATTTAGAATTGGGGATTAGGGTTCTCGAGAGAGACTAAAGAGAAGAGGAATAATCCCGACGATACTTTGATAGGTTTTTCATTGATATCCCTAACGATAGAACTCAAGTACATTATACAGACTCTGGCTCCAAAACCCTAATATACTAATCCTAATAAAATACTGAACTTTCCTCAAACCCCCTAATCGTACCCTCAACAATGAAACATGCCAAATACCCTCGATATGGAGATAAGGGCAATTAAATTGTAGTGTATTTTTCATGGTCCATGAAACCGTACTGGAGACTGTACCGGAAAAGTCAGTGGTAGGGTATTTTATGGCAAAATCGTAGTTCAATCGTTAGTATCGTTAAATATCGCCTACTGGTTTAGCCTCCGATACTGGTATTTTGTGGTTGAACCACCGGTACGGTACAATTTAATAAACCATGGTATTTTTACATACTTAGCAATATTCCACTCATATATTTCTTCCATGGAACAAGATCAGGATAGCGTTTATGGGAGCGTTTCCTTGTCTATCATGGAGTTCACGAGCTTGCACATACATTGCTGCTTCCATCTCTTGCCCTTCACATTCATGCACGCAAGTTCCCCAAAGATGAAGGTAATGCCTAGCTAGCTACTTAATAGAGGCCAAAGCTTCCCCGTGAAGAACACAACATGATTCATACCCAATTTGAGTAATGGATTCGAAATTTGAAACTTAGGGCTCGTTTAGTATAGTAGTTTTGTTGTGGTGGTGGTTGCAGCGGGGTTGTCATGACTCTGTTGCAACCACAACAACATGAAAATATAATATAAAAGGTTGTTTAGTTCTTACTTCTAAGAAGCCATAAAAATTTGTAACGAAATAGAAACTCGTTTAGTTTAAAATTCAAATAAGAACTTCAAATTAGAAAACGATGGAAATGTTCTCAATCTCAAAACTCAAGTGTAGTCTCCGACAAAAGTATTAATACTAGACACATCAATCAGGTTCGTACAAGAAATCATTAATTTTATAATCATTCCACATCTGAATAGTAATTCCATCCCGCTTTTTTCATTCATTTCAAGCGATGCAGCAGTGTCGACATTGTTGTTTTACTTAGTGGTGTGACTGAAAGAGGTGTGGGTAGAGTACGATAAAACACGTACGACGCATAAGCGAGTACATATCAGCTGAGATTGTCTGTCATGTTATTGTTGCCTCATCTATATTGAATGGTTATGATGAGTCTATCATGTTATCACTATGTAAAAGGTCCAAATGAGATAAAATCTATACGACAATAATTTTTTTGACGTCAAACATGTTCGTATCTCCAACATTTCAACACAATCCTTAGTTGAGGTGGAATTAGTCCTCACAATCTCATTTAACCACTTAATCATGAATGAGGAAATATGCAATTCGAGCAATCATTTGTATATTAGCACATTCCAATGTCTATGAACGTTAGTACACTCTGATTCATGGTTGGGGGGGGGGGGGGGGGGGGATGAGTACATAACGTAATCACATACCATGGCCAAGGGCCAATACTACGGTGCCGCTCTAAAAATTGCGGCACCGGTGACGCTACATTTGATTGGGCCATGTGGAGCTTATGTGGCAGTCACTTAATTGATTTAAGCCAAAACCAAAACCCATGAGTATATTACTAACCATAACCAACCCGTCCCTCACTCACATTCAAACGGAGACTCCTTCTCCGTCAAACCCAAACGATTCCTCCTTTTTTTTCTTTGCCAAACTATCTTTATTTTTATTATTTAAAAATGTAATTATTTTGTTACTTTGTTTAGCGGAAGATTCAGAAAACAGAGAAACAGGGGATGACGATCGACGAACCAGAAGGGAGTTTATTGATCTCCTTCTCCGAAATCTCTCCAAAATCACTCCGGTGACTTGTTCATGGCCGATGATCCATTCTCCAAAACACTCCGGTGACTTGTTCAGAGGCGAAGAAATCTATATCTTCGTAGGCCTCTGACACCATCGAAAAGCGCCTCCGCCAAAAGCCAAACGAGTCCAGGTCAGAGAAGTGAGAGACGCTTCCTTCACCGGCGGTCGCTCCCAAATCATTCCAACATTAAACTTTTGCCCACTAAGTAGAAACTAATGAGAACCCTAAATGGGAATTGAACCCTACTCCTAATGTTTGATGTACGGATGCAAAATTCTCCAAATCCTATCGTGATAACTTACAATGAGATAGAACCTTGGACTGGGCAATACGACTCCATCAAGAAACGAACAGATAAAAAGATGCAGAAGAGGATCTCGGATCGAAGACCTCGATTAGGGTCAAAATGAGGGGAAGATGAGATTTCGATGACGACGGAGCAGGTGACGGATCTTAGTGGAGGTGAATCGGGTAGGCTGTACCAGATATTGCATCGGCCTCGGCGGTTTTCGATTTTGACACAGGCGGCGCAGATACATGTTCCTTTGCCTCCGATCTGGAATCGAAGGGTAAGGTTGACCCTGGAGATGAGATCGACCAAGAACAAGTGACCCTATTGATTCTGCAGTGACCGCCGCGGTTCTCCCCTTCTCTCACTTGGCACCGTCTGGAGTGACCGCCGGAGGAGTTTGCGGAACTACCTTCGGGTTCCTTCCGCCGTCGACCTCTGTTTTCTGGAGCTTCCAAAAAATAACCTAATTAAAGTTCTATTTAATATAAAGATAAAACATTTTGGCGTTTGGGTTGGACGAAGAAGGGTCTCCGTTAGTGTGGGCGATGCGGTTTGGTTCTAGTACTCAACACTCACAGACTTTGGGCCTGGTTCAATCAAAGCCAACTCATGCCACATCACCTTCACGTGGCCCAATCATATTTAGCGTCACCGGTGCCGCAGTTTTTGGAGCGGCACCGTAGTATCGGCCCATGGCCAAGATATGGGCTTTACAGCACATAACGCAGTCACATACTACGCGAGCCTTCATTCCCATCCAGTCCATGGTAAGTATGGGCCTGACGACCACAAGCCCAAACTAAAGGGCCTATAAATCCACAGGCCATCACTCCTTTGCCCAAACTCTCCACGGCCCAAACTCACAAAACCCTAGGGCAAAATTTCTACCCAACGCATCTCCTACATATAAATACCCTGATCCCCGCCTTAACGCCGCTCTCTCCTTCACTCTCTGCTATCGCCTCAGCAGCTCCATTTCGGTTTCTAGTTCTCCAGAAACCCTAATTTCCCCCCCACAACACAACCATGGCTGACAGAGCTCCCGGAGACAGGCCACCGCGCAGAGGCTTCGGAGACCGCGGACGTGGCGACAGAGGCAGGGGCCGCCGCCGCGGGCGTCGCGATGAGGAAGAGAAGTGGGTTCCGGTCACAAAGCTCGGCCGACTCGTGAGGGAGGGCAAGATCAAATCCCTGGAGCAAATCTACCTCCACTCGCTGCCGATCAAGGAGTACCAGATCATCGACACCCTCGTCGGTCCTGGAGTGCTGAAGGATGAGGTCATGAAGATCTCCCCTGTCCAGAAGCAGACTCGCGCCGGTCAGAGGACCAGGTTCAAGGCCTTCGTCGTCGTCGGCGACGGGAACGGCCATGTCGGGCTGGGCGTGAAGTGCTCGAAGGAGGTTGCTACCGCCATTCGAGGCGCCATCATTCTGGCTAAGCTGTCTGTGATCCCGGTGAGGAGGGGTTACTGGGGGAACAAGATCGGGTTGCCTCATACTGTGCCGTGCAAGGTGACCGGGAAGTGTGGTTCCGTCACCGTCAGGATGGTTCCGGCTCCTCGTGGCGCTGGGATTGTGGCTGCTAGGGTGCCGAAGAAGGTCCTGCAGTTTGCTGGGATTGAGGATGTGTTTACTTCCTCCCGTGGGTCTACAAAGACTCTTGGCAACTTCGTCAAGGTTTGGATTTATCTCATCATGATATATTTTTTTTAGATATTGAATTTGGATGAATGCTGGATTGATTGAATTGTTGGGTGTTAGGCTATAGCCAATGCTAGAGGTTTAGTGGAACATTTGATGATTATCAACCACTGTGTGTTTGAAATCCCATATAGCCATTTCATGATAATCAGTCACTGCGGCGTTGAGTACCCTGGGTTTACCATTTGGTTAGATGAGATTGTCTCGATGGGATTATGTTGAGCTTCTGAACATTGATTTGCATGGATTGATGGGATTTCATTGATTGCTGTGTTTTGAGTCTACCCTGAATGTATTTGGTGTTGTAAATTGTAATGTAGCAGGTGACCAATGTGCGATTGTCCATGAATTGGCTATAGAATGTATAGATCCCAATTAGGGTTGGTAGTTAATACTTAATATACTGTTTTGCACTCCTGGTAGGTTAGGATTAATGTTTTATACTTTTGTTTTTGCAGTTTGCCTGCTCGTTGTTTCTATCATGATGTTTCATCTCCGGATGTTCCTAGTCTTTTTATGTTGTGTTTGTGTACCAATCTATTTGCTGAGTTTAACCGATTCTGCTGTGAATGATTAATTTGCAGGCGACATTCGACTGCCTGTTGAAGACCTATGGTTTCTTGACACCTGATTTCTGGAAGGACACCCGTTTCACCAAGTCACCATTCCAGGAGTTCACTGATCTCTTGGGAAAGCCAACCAAGGCACTCATCCTTGAGGATGTCGTACCAGAAGCTTGATTCTTCTTCGTACGATCGAGCGAAGAGAGTAGTAGCTGAATGTTTAGATTTTGTCTTGGGAACTCCAATCATGTTATCACTTTGGTTTTGTTCTTCACTTGGCCATGACATGATTTTGGGAATATTTTTTTGTTTCTTTTTTTAGACTCGGTGTTTATGGTTTTGATCTGCACTTACTCTTTGTTTAAGCATATGATCCTATTATGTTTCAGAAAACAGTTTGGAGCGATCTGTCTTTTGCTTTAGTTTCTCTGTTTCTGCTGCTCTTCTCCCTTTTCCTGTTTTCCGTTGCAATGTGCATAAATTCTTCGTTTCTACTTGACTAAATCCCCTTAGATAGGCCGTGGTTCTTTTATATGTTCATAATGTATATTGTGGTGTTCGTTTAGTAGACCTATTCCCAAGCCTGCTTAATGTCATGAATAGTGTAGAAACAAGAATGTATGAATTTAGCATGAAACTAGGTTGGACTGAATGCTCGAGATATCAAAAGAATTTCAACTACTTGGAAGTTGCAACCCTAGTGATTTTAGCTCTTCACAATCTAAATGTGTTGGTGATGTATAATTCCTATATATTAGAGATCATTTGGAAAGTATTAACTTGGTTAGTAGTATGTGGTTAAGCACAAAAGACTTCCAAAGCATAAGGAAACACAAGTAAAGAGAATCAAGGAAATGAATTGTCAAATCTTATTCTCCAAAATGTGCTGATAAGATATTGGAGAAAACTAATTATTAATATTGAAATATTTATTCTAGCAAAAAATTGTCTATTTCTCATAAAATTATCATATAGTCTCGAGATTGGCTATCACATGCTATGAGTGAAGATAAGATCAGGTTCAATAAGTTAAATATGAGCAGCCACGCCAATTGACTTGGCAAGTTTAGGTGAGTAAATAACAATCAACTAGGAGTGAGTGAAAAGAAAAGATCCATTGAGATTTAACCTCTTTACCTCTAATATAGGTTCTGCAACTATTTTGCAACATCAAAATTTCGCTTGACCCTATTGTAGCTGTAAATCCTTATTCTCGTACCGATTAACCAAAACGACCATCATTAGAGGACTAATAGTGAATAAACTCTTCTCCATCTAAGTTGTTCCAACCCATTAGCTCTACTAATCAATTTTATAAATTTTGTCCCAAAAACTCCAAAAGTGCATAAGAACGGTCATAGAAGTTCCTAATTAAGAAACCCCATCTATTACCCTCGTTGTCAGAGCTCAAAAGGTCCGAACGATATTGCAAATAGAAAGGATGAATGGACAATAGTCATATGAATATTCAGAATATGAGAAAAATCATTTATTAGACTCCATCAATCCCTAATTCTTCAAAAGCCTTAAAGCAACAAAAAGTTGTAATTAAACATTACTAAAATTAGAATCCGTATATCTTCCAAAGAAAGGGTCACATGTGGGTCCAACATGTGGATGCACGAAGGTTAGGCTTGAGAAAAAAATTATCGAATCCCAAGTGATAATTTCAGCTTTGAGGGGAAATACGTAAGGAGCAGATGTACAAAAATCAAATGAATATTTAGAATATGAGAAAACTTATTTGTCACTCCATCCATCCCAATCCTTCAAAAAGCTTGAGGCAACACAAATTTGTAAGTATACATTTACTAAAATCAAACTCCAAATTACTACACAAAACAATCACGATGGATCCATGAAGGTTTAGGGTTTGGAAAAAATTGTCGAGTCCCAAATAGTAATTTCAGGTTTAAGGGGAAATACGAAATGGCAAATGTACAAACACATATGAATATTCAGAATCTAAAGAAAACCATTTGTTAGACCCCATCAATTTCAATCCTTCAGAAAGTTTGAGACAACAAGAAGTTGTAAGTATACATTTACTAAAATCATACTCCAAAAAGCTACAAAAGTCACGGTTGGGTTCATGGAGGTCTAATGTTTGATAAAATATTATCGAATCCCACGTAGTAATTTTAGGCTTGAGGGAAAGAAACTAGTAATTCCTAGACTTCGAATCTTGATCTTGTAGTTATTTACAAAAGAAAAGAAAAATGTTGTCCACTACACTACAAGTTCAGTTTTATGATATTTAAAATAATAAATGTATTTATACATCTAACAAACTCCAACTAAATTGCTCAATTTTATCAGAATCCTAAATAACTGAAAACCAATTTCTATTTATTGTATCCCTCTCCTCCGATCTCATGAATTAAGAAAGAAGCATCCTTCTTAACTCGAAGCCACTCCCTCTTCTTATCACTTCTTCAATTACGCGAGACTCCCTTCCAGTATGGTCATCCCGGCCTCTGAAAATTGTTACCAATGTGTTAAGAATGATGAGAGATTCCATGAATTAAAAGGAATTGACGAATTAGCTCAACTGGTGGTGATGGCAAAAGTGAATTTAACATATCTATCGATATATTTGCTTATGAAATTTATATTAGTTTTGTAGGTTGCATCAAGAACAACCTCCATAATCGAATATCCAATCAGTTTGTGAATGATTGTCTATGAGGATTTACTGAAAGAAATTTGTTGAATACTACAAACATTGAATGAATTTTATAAATTTTTAGAACATAAATGTATTTTTTAAACTTATACTAGTAATGAACTCTCTTAATTTAGATATTTTATATTATTTAAACCAATCAAAGGTAGAGATACTAGCGGAGATGAGTATTGGTCATTTAGTAAGGAAATATACTTCTCAAAGACACCATAAAAAAAATTGTACCTAAGTATCAAGCTAACATTTATGTAAAAGTATTTTTTAAAGAACATTGATTGTTTCATTATTTTGAAACACAGTGTAGAGAGTTGTAACATCGCTGAAAGAAAGAGAAAAAAGCTCATTGAACAAGAAATCTAAAAAATAAGTTTACAACAACCCAAAATCCAAACGAAGCCCAAAGCATGGTCCGACGAATAGTTGGACCTCCGAAGCCTACCCCAAGAAACTCTAAATCAGCCGGAAGATGATTTTTGGAGTATGTTTTCTTTTGCTTCTTTGTGCGACTTTTGTGTCAAGGTACTACATTGTTGCAGTAAAGAATCTGGAGGGGAATGGCTTTGGCTTTACTAGCTTTAGCATCTAGGTTTCTTGCTCTTTTTTATGTCGTGTTTCAAAACGGGTTTAACTAGGTCATCTGGTTAATGTGCTTGTACAATCATTGCAATTTTATAGAGTAAATTTTACAGTTTAGTTAAGAGTAAATACAATTTATTTATTAAATCTTTCAAACTTCTTAAATTATAAGTCATACATTTTGAAATACAAATTATTAGTCAAACGTTTAGCCTACGTTAAAATTTATGTTAGTAATGCTATCTTGGCAACATAATGTTGAGCTGGAAGAGACATGACGATCACAATTTAGTATTTTAATTAAATAAATAGTTATAAAATTAGTAACGGTATATTATGATGTGTTTCGAAAGACTTTGCTAATATTTTGCATATAAAAAGATTTGTCTAATAATTTAAAATTTTGTATAATGAATTTTATTTACTCTTTTGTTAATGACATGGATAAAGTAGAAATAAAAAATGTATGATCCTGGTATGATGTGAAAGTTGGTTGGACTTAGATAAATCCTTGAGATAGGCATGATTGAAAAGCATTTCATGTTGCAACCCTCGTGAATGAAACCTCTTCACAATCAACATGTTGGTTATGTATAATTCATATAAATATTAGAGACCATTTGAGAAGTAGGTTGAGCCCAAAAGGATTTTGCTTTACTTTATTACTATAAAAAAGACCTGCAATGAACAAGTACAGAACCCCAAATGAGTGGAGAAATTTTTTCAAATCTTAATGTAAGAAACCAAAAAAGAGTAAGGAAAAAAATTATAAAACCTTATTCATGAAATGTGAAGATAAATTGGAGGAAACTAATTACTGATTTTGAATCTTTGATCCTAATACCAATGGACAATTTGACTATGTGTCTATGATCATTATCATCATGATCATGTTGTCATTGATGACCTCTTGGCTGGCTATCCACAACAGCACCATGGTGCTAGTAGTACTCTTGCAATGATAACACTGGGAAAATTATGCTTCTTGCCTAACCTTTGACATGGAAGCTTGTGATACAAGCTAAGATTTACTAGAGAAATTTTACGAATACTTGAGTTGACACGGATTCTTAGTTATGCTATTATTCGGGTTTTTAAGGTTTTGATTTGATTTTGTTTGCATAACGTTGGTTGTAACCGCTCCTTTATAAACGTGCAAAGCGGTTTCCTCATTTTTATTGAGATTATCAGTATAATAGTATGTTGTGTCATTGGTATCGGAAGTACAAGAAAGCGCTTTGCTAATACTAATCTTCTTTTCGTATGCACATATGAAGAGTAGGACTTGGTTTCTTTTGTAGGTTTCTACAACCCCAAATGATGCTTTGGCAATGACAATAGCACTGATCTGTCAACATCTTTGAATGGTGATCTCTTGAGCCCACAGCCAATGCCTACTGAGATTGACTTCCTTCTCTCTTCCTTCAACGTGTCATTCAGTCTAAATAGTTGTTTTTTTTATTCTCCTTCATGCATACCAAAACTCGCTTCTCCATCTAATTGGGAGCTACTGCTGGTAAATTTAGTCGTCCTCCACTTGCTCTATTGTCTCTAGTTGTTTTCTTCTCTAGCATCAATCTCCTTCCAAAGCTCGAAAAGTTGATCTTCGAGCTCCTTCTATCTGTCCTCGAAGGAGCTGGCTTTCTGTTTACACTCTTGTTCTTGTTTTCCAACGATAAAGAAGCTTAGTTAATTAATCATTCTCTCTACCAGAAGTCATTGCTTTAGGAGTTAAGTTTTCATAAAAAAAACAGAGAAACTGTCTCACTCCAAATGTGCACAAACTTACAATAGAATCTTTGAAACAATGTAAAAGATTTTTAAGATTGTGAGAAGAAAAAGGAAAAATAAAAAATTCCGCAAACAAGGGAAAGCGTTCATCGAGAAACCTTAGAGTATTTAGGGATTTTGACAACGACCATAAAATATATCATACTTTTCTCTATATATTTAGTTACTCTTCACGGTTTTTCTCCACTCATTCTCGGAGTTTGAATCGAATTCTCTCAATCACGTGTTTATCATCCTCGAAAATGAAAAATGTGGGTACGACTTGTAGTTTGACGTTGACTTGATGAACTTTGTGATAGCCTTTGACCGATTAAATTCAAACGTTGGTAATGAAACACCTCGTACTCTTTCATTTCTTCCCCTCCTCCAGACGATGAGCTATCTGAGAAACTTATGAATTATGATGAATGCTTTTTATTTAGAACTGAGCAAAAGTTTCAAATGAGTATAATAAGTTGATGTTGTGGCTTACGGTTTCCTGCCCTTTTCTTTTGCTGGGAGAGTTGGATACATATGTCCAGTGGCGGAGGCAGTGCATACCAAGGTGGGTCCCGGGACCCACCTTGGTTCGGGAGAAAATATGTACGTCTAGGTTAACAGTGGCAGAAGGTTGTACCGGACAAGTCAACGGTAGGATATTTTATGCTGAAAATGTGGTTTAATCATGATTCAACCATTTCATATCGCTAATATCTTTTATCAATTTCGCTTACAGTATGAGATTTTTTTTATCGAACCACCAGTACGCTATGGTTTTTCACTCCTTAATACAATAATTAAGTGACAATGAGATTTTTCACCTAAAATTCGTCCATATTGATCAATATTTCTGCCATCAAACAATATTATATCATGAATTTAGCTATCATCATTATATATAATACATTTTAGTTTCTACATAAATAATATTAGCACAAAATATAACTTCATCCTCCAAGCTTTAAATCCTTAATTTATCTATTATCTATAGCCAACAAAGCCTCATTTTGTTGAAACTCACCAGATCCTTTTTGTCCTAATAATGAATTCAATAAATCAGGTTTTAGACTCGAACTAAGGCTACACTGCAAGTGTTGAAAGAAAATTTTCAATGAACCACGTGGATATTAAAAAAATCCGGACCCACCTTACATAAAATCCTGGCTACGCCACTGCATATGTCGTGGCTTTGGTCAAGAGGATCCAGAAATTCTCCATGTTCAGGATGCAGGGGGTCGGGCGGCAACATACATTTTTTATTTGACTTAGTTTTGCTATAGCTAAAAAAATGGGGGCCCAAATTGTATCTCGGCTACCCACTAACTTTTTTTTAGAAATTTGTTTGTTCTACTTCCACTCATAACAATGATAACAATTGCTAAAAAAAAAAAAAGCAATAACGAACTATAAAAAAATAAAAATTAGCATACAAATAACTGCAGTTTATTGAAAGAAATAAAAAAAGCAGAAATCTAAATTTGAAAGATTGTAGGGTTGAAAGTTGAAACATGAAATTGATTTGGTAAGCTAAAAAATGACAAGGCCAAATTTAGCTCAAGTTAAATCTAATGGACGTGTATGACCAGCCATTCTCACTTTACTGACTTTTTAAACGGGTTGGAAGGAGGTCGCTGGCACGTTGATTCTTTGGCTGGACCTTCATGAGTGCTTGACGACTTAAAGAATGGATTGGAGGTACGGCTTGATTCCTCGTTTCCTGCTGCTGTTGCTGCTGCTGCTGCTGCGGTTGTTCTGAGCTCAGTCGATCTCCCTCTAGTTGCAGCTTCTGGCTGAACTTCTCTCGCAGTTTGGTTATGGTCACTCCTTCCCTTCTGTTCACCTCTGTTAACCACTTTCTTGACGAAATGAGGCGCTGACAATGTGGTGGATGACGATGGGATGCAGCTGGGCTCTGACGATACCTCACTTGATGTCCCATTTCGTCCCAAACCCGAACCCTGGTTAACTGCAACACCAGCTGCCTCTGACATATCTTTTGTTTCGTTCAGCATTCGCTCCTGCAACATGCATGGAAACCATTAATACCAGGTGGATAGAACCAAAACTCCTGAAAGTTGGTTCATTGAAAAGATACGAGTTCGAAGTACCTCGAGTATGTTGTTGAAGCGATCTGCAAGATTGGGAAGTTTGAGAGCAGTGACGAGCTTGATTGCTCCTTTCATCGATTTCTCCAGCGTCAGGAGTTTCACCAGTTCAGTGGCTCGTACAAGTTTGTCGCCTGAAAGTTCAAGCAAAACAACCATCAAGTTTAGAGCTCGTACGTGAGGGTTGCAGCAGGTAGAATAGAATTGTAATCCTTGGTTGCATTCATGCAATCACTATTTCCTTCCAATGTTATAATTTCAACCACTCACATCCTGTCCCCTGAAACCAGATTTCTCGGGAACTTACTGTTGCAACACGAAGCAATGAGCCTCAGGATACATCTATCTTGAGCTGCCTCCGTGCTGAAAGCTTCATCATCGAGGTCAGTGGTGTCCCTACCGTCAGATGAACTCTCTTCTATTCTTTTCTGGATCTGCCGGAAAAAAAATTGGGAAGAGAAGATTTAGACAGCACATATATAAGTTTGTTTGGCAACTTGCTAGAACAATGAATATAACAAAGCATAGATAAAAGCACGGCCTATTCTAAGAAGAAGGTATAAAAGAGGAAACCTGAAAGAGATGGAGGTTGTTCAATATAAATTCATTCTCAAGGACATCTGCTCCCAGATCGGAAGATGCTAGGGGGGACGACAGATCCAGCAAAGTGAGAATCGGTTTGGGCATCACCTGAACAAAGGCAAACGATTCAGTATGGAGATCACGACGTACTTATATAACAAAAAGTAGCAATCTTCTTGTTTACCTGAGGAAATACTTCAGGACTCTTGCAAACTATGCAGAATAACTTGCTTGCGTTCAACCCCACAACCCAGTAGTTTTCATCTGACTTCTTTGTTTTATTGGCACTGCAGAGAACAAACCAACACGTTATATTCCACTTCAACGCAAAAAACAAGGGTAGGATCATGCTTTTGCATTGCAGAAGAGTTTTTGAACCTGAACAGCGGGAGCCAACTGCCGCCATATTGGCTTGTATAAACCCTCAAGACACCCTACAAAATTAGCTCATAGTTGGTGGATGCAATGAAAAGATAGATATATCAACTGTTAAGTAATATTCAGTCTCGTTCACTGAGAAAGAAAGCAGTACATACCTTTGAATCATATGAACTCAATAGTCCTTCCTCGCTAAACCCAAACCAAATAAGATGTGAACCAGGAGACAATGGAAGTCGCCCCCTAGAGGGCCTTGTACCATTACGTATATCAAATACATGGAATTCAAGCACCTGCATGGTTCAAACCAAGAAATGTTGTTTATGAACAGTTCTAAAGTTAATAGATACTGGTATATAACATTTGTTCAGGCTTTCAGCCAATAAGGTTTACGGTTGAAAGCAAGTAATGGTTGTAGTCTGGATGAAGCTTGTATCTTTCAGTTAGAAACAAATGAAAAGTGGTAGTGAGAAAGAAAAAGGATAGACCTGATCATTTGAAGGAAGACAGTTAGAAGCATGAGTGACAACTGCAAGCTGATTTTTGGAACCTGATGCAGTCACTGCTGGACCATCAAGGGAAAGAATATGCTTCTGCGCACGAGATCATAGGGTGAAACTCTTGATGTTAGATGAAAGAACAAATTATCGAGATTACGGTAGACCAAACCTAAGCTACTCAGTTGACACTACACGATGGCAAGGATTAAAATAAATTTGGAGGTACACATTGATCTACTGCACGTAAATAGATCAACTATGGATCCGTTGATAATACAAATTAAACTTCCATCCCTTTCTTCTATCCCTTATAAACTTGAGCAAAAATTGCAAAATACATGAACAGAAGATATCAGATGGACAAATATGATAAAGACTCTCCTAATCCTGCTCGCCACTCCACCCCAACTAAACATGCTCTCTCAGAAGACTGCAATCAACCAGTTCACCAGACAAACCTGCAAACCACCATCAGTAAAGATGCGGAGATAATTTAGACTAGTGATCGCCGCAACCCAATGAACACCAAGTGCAACAACTTTGACTTCTTCTCCCTCAAACCGCATGGACCACTGCATTTGCACATGTAACAAATGTCAGCTAACGGAATATTTACTCACAGTATTCATGAGTAATAGAATATAAGCAGAGTGCAGCCCATCCCAATCCCCAGATGGAGAAGTTTATTTTCAATGGATAAAGCATCTGACCTCACTGTTGTTTGCCCAACTGCTGAACGGGCGATACATGAGAGTACTCATGTTCTTGTCACCCTTGCAAGGATTGGCAAAAACACTCCCATTCTCATTCAAACAAGCCATCGTGAAACCAAAATGATCCGTCATTGCAGGAACTCGAGGTCCTCTACTAGTATCATGAAAGTCTATCTGCACCAGGTGGACATGAACAATTGCAAAGCAGAACGCAATGATCAATACGATCAATAACTACGAAGAAATGCAAAGAGGAACATAATTAAACGGTCAAATCCTGCTCAACTACCTCTATATGAGAGTACCCATCATATTCCATTGTAGTGATAGTTCCAAGCATATTGTAGCACAAGAAGCGCCTCTTCCCTGGCTGCACAGGAGTAACACCAGGCTGGAAAGCTTCCTGCATTTTGGACCTCACAGATATGGCTGTGCTTCTTAGTTCTTCATTAGCTCCCTTGTCCAACTGTTCTCTTGCTCTTTTGGGAGCCATGCGTTGAGGAAGCAGGCCATAGTCATCAATTGTATTCTCAGTGGAACGATCTTCATCAAATTCAGAACGCTTCCGTATTCTTTTCCTGCTTGGCGGGCCTGATTCACCTATGCTATCCTCACCGAGATCGCCTAGACTGCCAGATGAACAAGGCTCCTGCCCCTCTTCTTCAAATAACATTAGCCCGTTGGTCTTTTTTGAACTCTGTGGAATATCTTCAGTGGGAGATTTCATGGATGACGGGACAACTGATTCCCACAGGCCATACTTGCCAGAAACATCAACAACAGCCAATGTATTACCAACTGGTTTCCACGCCATGCAACAGATTCTGTCTTCGAATTTCTGACGGTCAATATCTTGCTTCTTAAGGACATCCCATATCAGAACCTGCCTATCCAAACCTGATGTAGCCATATATTTCCCATTAGGCGACCAAGACAAGAAACATAAAGGGAGCAGATGGTCGCCCCTCAATGTAAACACCTTTTCGGCTGTGTCTCTATCATACATCACCACATCATTCCTCAGACCAGGGACCGCCAGCATCTCCCCGTCGGGACTCCAGCTTAGTATATTGACCAGGGAAGTGTCTAACCCAGTATTAGGAGCTACACCTTTTAGGGTATGCAATATTGTCCCCGACTGCAACTCCCAAAATAAGACTGTTCCCATGGAATCAATTGATGCCAAGTACTCACCCATAGGATCAAACGCCAATCCAGTGACGGATCCTTTGTGCCCTTTCAGAACCCTAGCTATTGAGCCATCAACAGTGTTTATCAGCTTAATACCATCGTCATCCCCGGCAGCCGCCAGCATGCTCCCTGATTGATTGAATGCAAGAGCACGGATTGGAAGTGTGAATCTGGTGATGTTCGTCTCAAAATCCCCACCTTTACAAGTCAAAAGAAGAATGAACCATTTATGTTGTCAGTAGTCACACTAAAAAATAGAAATTCACCTGGGTAATTTTAGGGCAAAGGATCCGCAAATGTTTGCTTCAGCGAAAGCCAATTTCTTTCTGTCTACTTAGTGAAACGACAAGCAATTAGACGTTACCCGGGAACTTGTAGAGCTTGACGGAGTTGTCGATAGATCCGGAGGCGAGGCAGGTGGAGTTAGGGCTGAGCGCCAGCGCGGTGACGCCATCACGGTGGTGCCGGAGAATCTTGGGTGTGGTCGAAGGCAGAAGAGCGTCATGGATGGAGATTCCCGAATCCGAAGAGGAAGCAGTGACCAGGTGACGAGCTTGCTGATCCCATAGGATGGAGCAGAAGGAGGATCCATTGGCGGCGCCGTACGCAGAGCTGGGTTTGTGTGCTTCTTGTAGCTTCAGTGTACGGATTTTCATGGCGGCGAGCAGCTTTTTGGGGATGTGAGAAACTGGGAGTGCGAAACTTCGAAATCCTTGGAGGGTTTGGTAGCCTTTACTCTTCACTCTTCAGCGTGGCTTGTGATTTTGTTTCCCCCAATTATTTGGCGCGAACAAGAGGAATTTTTCGTTTTTTTGGCGGGAGTTGTCCAAGGGTCTAAAATGTAGAGCTTCTTAAGTTTGGGTGTAATAACTGCTATGTTATAATTATGGGGATGAAAGAGAGTTTTTCCAATTTGATAAAATTGAAACAACCCCTAATCTCCTCTGCTCTTTCGCTCGCGCCTCGCAGCGCCTCAACTTCAAGCAAGCTGCCTCTCCAACTACAGAGCCGCCGCCGGCCACGCCCGTCACTCCAAGGTCGCCGCCGCTCTCCTTTTAGGGAAAACTTGTTTATATGCACTGAACTTGCGACCCTGAAGTCATTTGGTGATTTGCTAATTAGCGGAGATGGTTGAGAGAAAGAGAAAATCCAGAGACGAGACGAGGCAGGGTAGGGAGAAGGGCAACAGTAAGCCGAGAAAAATGTCGAGCAATAAGAAGGGTGGCAAGGAGAAAGGTAAGAGGACTGGTCCTCGGTTGCCCAACGCGCTCATGAAACAGTTGGATCGAATAAACCCTAGGAGCCGGTTTGATGACGATGACGACGTTAGCTCCGATGGAGGGAAAGACCTGTATGAGTACGAGGAGGAGGTGGCTGAAGAGGAAGCGGGGAAGAACCGCCGTTTCGATGCTATTAAAAACTTTGACTATGAGTTGCCGGAGGATTTCGTGGTATCGCTTTCTTCTATACCTTCTCTTCATTTTTCTCAGTCTTTGTTTCAATTTGAGCTCCAAAGATGTAGGATTTTTTTTCCCTACTTTCCATGAGGGGTTCTGTGAAGTTGGCAAATTGATGTGGTGGATAATGACTTGATTCGCTAATGGGTGTGCAGGATGAGAATGTACAATCAGATGATGATGATGATGATAACAGTGCCAGCAGCGAGGATGAAGATCATAATGATGGAAAGCAAAGTTCAGGAGCTGCCGATGATGAAAAGCATTTGAGGATGCTGCAAGAAATCACTCAGATGCCAAGTGAAGTTTTTGAAGGTATATCCTTGCATTGCCTGCTTTCACTCCAGTAGAAGAAGAGAGATGGAGAAACTTAATGAGAAATGGGTTTTTTTAAGTTTCAGACTTTCAGTTGATTGGGGTGTAAGGGACTAGGAAGTTAATGTTCATAGTGGATATGGAATTACTCATGGAGAACATGTCCTTAAATTGTTGAAGGAGATTTTTTTCTCCCTCCGTCTGCCCATCTCCTACCAAACTTCATTCATGCTAATGTCTAGGTACTTTGTTTTATGTCTCGATTTCTAGGCAGGCGGAAAAAGAATGAAATTGTTGTATCAGAGCCTTATCCAGAATCGGAGTACAATCCCAGCAGTGATGTTCTAGACGGCGTTGGACGTGTTACTATTGGTGATCTTCTGGGGAGTCTTCAGCAAAATCCTGCTTATAGCAAACTCAGGAAAGAAATGCGTCATGTGGAGGCAAAGAGTATGCCCCTTGCAGCTCCACTTTCCAAGGAAGCAATAGACAAGGTGGAGAGGCAAAAAGCATATGAAATATCCAAGAAAGATATCACTAAATGGGAACCTTTGATTAAGAGGAACAGGGAAGCCCCTTCTGTTATTTTCGACAAAGATATTGATGTGGGGTTTTCAACGGTTGGAGCCATAGCATCAGAGTTTGAGCCTAGAACTGAGTTTGAGAAGAAAATGGCTTCATTAGTTTCTGATGATAAGGTTATGGAAGCTCACAACGAAGATGGTGCCAAGCTTCTCGAACTGAATAAGGTAATGGACATGGGATCTTTTGGTTTAACTTCCAATTGTGGCTGATGTTACAACATTGATGTTGAGGTTAAATGTTAATATGAATCCGACTGTGGCAGTAAGGTTTTGAAGCCAAACTGTTGGCTAAAGAGCGAATGTCAGTTATATAAGTTGGTCCTTCAAACTAAAGGAAAAGGTGATGATCATACCTCATGGATGAGGCACTTTATCTTTCTTCTGTAGTTACCTGTGTTCAGACTCATGTCTTGATCCATGAAGTTTGAGGCAATCAAATTAGCTAGTACTGTATGTTTTGCTGTTGGTGCAAACGTTTTTGGGTGTTTTTTATCTTATCATCCCAGCATTTTCCATACATTGCTGAATTGAAATGTTCCTATTCCTTGAAGTTGTTTCCCGATCACGAATAGAATCTTAGCTACAGTCTTATGAAATATGATGATCATTGGGCCTGATTTTGAAGCTGCTCTGGATGATTTTCCCCCCTCCACGTGATACTTCTGTAGTTGCAGCAACTTCGATGGACTTCAGTTTGTTTGTGTCTTTGCATCTTTTTCTTTTTTGCATTCTGATGCGCTCCTGTGTTTAACATTTTTGCTGTTGACTGGCCAACTCCTTATAATTTCAACGTTTTATGTTCTTGAGATGTGTCCCATTGGCCTTGCTGTTCTTTCTCAACTGTTTGTTATTTCTTGTGTTGCCGATGGGCTGCAGATATCTTCGGAGGATTATAAAAACAGTCGGGATCACATTGCTAAAATGCGAACCCTTCTCTTCCGACATGAAGTGAAGATGAAACGCTTAAAAAAGATAAAGTCTAAGACACATCGCCGGATGTTGAAGAAAGATAGAATGAAGGGAGCATCTGGTGAAATGCAGATGGATTCTGAAGCGGCTAAAGAATTGGCGATAAAGCAAGAGTTCAAGCGAGCTGAGGTAATCAAGGACTTACTCTTACTGTCATGAAATTGTGATATTCTACCAGTTGATTGCCCACAGACCCTGACAGCCGCTTTTGAATAGTTTTAATTTTCCGTGCTACTCTACATATATGCAGGAACGCTTGACCTTAAGGCACAAAAACAAGTCAAAATGGGCAAAACGTGTATTGGAGCGTGGTCTGAATGCTCAAGATGAGGGCACCCGAGCAGCCATTACAGAACAACTCAGTCAGCATGCTCGTTTGACTAGAAAAATGAATTCTATGAATGACAGTAGCAACAGTGATAACAGCAGCGACGAGGAATATGATGAAGATTCTGATGTTTCAGAACGAGATAGAGCTTCTAAGGTGTTGATGAAAGCAAAAGAAAAGACGCAAAGTATATTAGAGGAAGAAGATGAAGTGCCTACATCAGGAGTTCTTTCTCTGCCTTTTATGGTAAGAATTAAGGTCACGAAACAGAAAAAGGTTTTAGAGAGACAAGAGTGAGATAGTATCCTTATTGCACCCTGTTCTGACATTTTCTTGCTGAATCATGTAAAATGGTGATTTAGTAAATATGATATAATCTTCCATTTTATTCTTTGGTAGAACCTGCATCTAATATCTTTTCCCCCGGTTTGAAACAGGCACGAGGATTGAAAAAACGGAAGGATGAGGCTAATGAGGAAGCTAAACTTGCGCTTCAAGAGTATGAAGCCGCACTGGGTCAAAAACATGACTCAGCTGATACAAAAACAGCTGCGGGAAATGGAAGAAGGGTATTTGGAGGACCAACACAGAAGGTTGCTTTACCAACTAAGAAGAAGAATTTGAATGATAACTCCACCAACAGTGACAGTGACAGTGAGGCCGAGTTTGAACCTGAAGAAAATATTGTTGATGAAAGAAGTGATGGGAGGCAGAAGGATGTTCGTGTCAGCTATTCCTTGCTTAATGAAGGCTCTGAGTCTAATCAGGAACCTCCATTCGCGGTTTGTTTATGTTTGCTTTGCTTATCTTTCGTAGTGTTCTGTGTTGCATGCTGCTTTTCTTGTTCAAACTTTTACATGCAGTTTTGTCCTTATACAGCTTCTATAGCCTGATTCCATGTGTTTTACAGGATTCTGGGAAGATGGCTGTGGATGCTGGCCCAAAGACAGCATACAAAGTTGCGATTTTCGCATCAAACACATGGAGAAAAGTATCTCTCTGTTCCCATTTCATGTGCTTTTATTTTGAATTATTATTGGCAAAGTCAGTTTCTTCTTCATCTTCGATTATTTTCTCTTTTGACCTGCTGTTCCTTTGTAGATGAGCGAGAAGAGTGAAGTGGAAGCCGGTACCAAAAGGGCTCCAACCGATGTTCAGTCTGCTGTGGAGAATAAACATCCAGAGGTAATACCTCCCTCTTTCATTGCTTAATTTTACTGGTGTTATTTTTTTTATATTTAGTATAGTTTCTCACTCCCTGTGGATTTTGAAGGAAACCGGCGAGGAAAGTGATAGTGATGATGAAGCACAGATGATTGATGGGAACTTGTCATCAGGCCGTAGAGCAGCATATGAGCTGCCTTCTCAAGCAGAGCTTATCCATGAAGCTTTTGCTGGAGATGATGTGGAAGAGGAGTTTGCCAAATATAAGGATGAAGCGTTAAGTAAAGAAAATCCCGAGCCAGAAAAGCCTGTTCTACTTCCTGGTTGGGGCCAATGGACTAATGTACAGAAAAGGAAAGGCTTGCCTTCGTGGATGGAGGAAGAGCATAAACTAGCTCAGCGAAAGAGAGACGAGGCTGTTAAGAAAAGGAAGGATGCACATCTCAAGCATGTGATTATATCCGAGAAGTTGGATAAAAAGGTTAGCACATCTCCGTTGGGTTTTTTTTTCTTTTTTCGTGTTATTATCCTTCCTTCAGACTGTTCTCTGGTGAGGAGATGTTACTGTGTAAACAGTTCGCCAATAGACTGACTTTTGAATATCACAGGCTGAGAAACTACACACAAAGTCATTGCCTTTCCCTTTCACGTCCAAGGAAGTGTTCGAACAAAGCATCCGCATGCCAATTGGACCTGAGTTCAATCCTGCAACAACCGTTGGAGCTCTTAACCGACCTGAGGTGAGTGATTATGTAACGCTTGAACATAATTTCCCTCATGCCCTACTGATGCTTGGCTACAAATATGACTCGGCGAGAATTTGCTAACCACGTCGTTATGCTTCTGTTTTACTGTTGCAGGTGTTGAAGAGACCTGGAGTGATCATCAAGCCGATCAACTACGAGGATGTCGACCCACATGAGAAGGTGGTGCAGCATAAGCAAGGGGGTGACAAGAAGCAGCAAAAGCGAAAACAACCACCAAAGTCGAAAACCGAGGGTAAGCGGCATAGAATGAAGCCGGTGATGGTGAAATCTTGAGAAATGGAGCAATTCGTATTCGGTTTTCTGTTTCATCCAGTTTTGGTAGAATCCCCTTGTACGTGCAATTTTTACCAGGGCAGAGTCATATGTGTCAAGATGTATTAGAATGACAGTGTACTGAATTTATTTGCAGTATATGTTCTCTTTTCTATGTTATTCGGCGATTATGCTCTCCTTTCAGCAAATCTCGTCAGTTTTGTCATGGTGGGAGTTGGTCACTGACTTCTATCAGTGGCACGAAACTACTCCTTTGTGTTTTCCTATTCTCAGTCCTAAGGACAAGTTGCATGAGTCCCCATTTATTCATGATGACAAATGGATTGGATTGGTGGATTCATGGATCAAATGGATTGGTGGATTGATCCATCCGTCCAAATGACATCCAAGTCTTGGATTAAAATGTAAATTTTGAATAGTTTAGGTACTAAAATGTCATATCAAAAAATTTTAGGTACCAAAATGTAAACTTTCAATAATATTTTTTGTATATTTTAGGTATCAAAATATAAAATATAAAAATCATGGATACTAAATATGTTGGTGAGATATATAATCTAACAAATTTATGAACCATCAACAAGCGAATGATGAACTATTTACTCGATGCTCATTAGTTGCTAGTTGAGGTGGCTCGCTAGTCATACTATCGAGCCAACTCATAGCTTAAAATGAGCTAGCCCACAAGTTGAGCTCAATAAGCCATTGAGTCGAGCTGCTGACATGCCTTGTGAGCCAAACATGGTTCAACTCAAGTTCCACTCATTAGTAATCGAACAAAGAGTCAAATGAGCTTTTTCCGAGCCAAACATCGAGTGTGACTGTGAGCAGGTTGGCTCATTCTGATGGATTGATAGAATTGCGTGGGAAAAAAATTTGTGCACAAATTATTCAACGCCACGCGATGAAAAGTATAGTTCTACCTTCTTCCCATCATATTTCTATCGAATTGGTGAAACCCTTATAATTATTTTCTTCTCGAATAAATGAAGTAGTAAAAATAAACTTTATATATATATATATATATATATATATATATATATATATATATTCAGTGCACCCACTTTTTTGGGCACTCAGTGCACCCGCCTCATAATTGTCATTTTAAGCATGCGATTCTTGTCAAAACGGTATCAATTGTTGCTTATGATATTATGAACAAGAAGCACATGAATTTGAAAAAAAAAAACATTCAAAATTTACTTTAATTTGAAAGATTTAGGATTTGGAGATTTAGGGTTAGGGCTTAGGTTTACAATTTGGAATTTTGGGTTGGGATTCAAAATTGAAGGTTAAGAGTTTATGGTAATAGATTGATTTGTTATGATTCTATCTCATATCATCATATTAGATTGAGAGTACTAATTAAAATTCAAAATTTGATGTACTATGGACACTTTTAGAATTGGGTGCACTGAGTGCACCCAAAAAAGTGAGTGCGCCGAAGTAGCCACCTATATATATATGGTTTAGGCTAGCGTACGCCCGGGCGTACGTTAGACTACCGTACGCCCGTTTGAGTTTTGCTATTTAGATCATGAATTAACCGGACTTTTGGGCATGATACTATACCCTAACCACTAATTAATAAACCCCAGTCCCTAGTTTTCTAACCCAAATCATGAGATTCGTTTAATCTTGAAATGAAAATCAACAATAATTTCGACAAATCAAAACCGTTGATTTTCATTTCAAGATTAAATGAATATTATGCTTTGGGTTAGTGAATTGCGGACTGGGGTTCACCCATTAGGGGTTAGGGTATAATATCATGCCCCAAACTCCGGTTAATTCATTGTCTAAATAGCAAAACTCAACGGGCGTACGGTAGGCTAGGGTACGTCCGGGCGTACGCTAGCCTTTGCCATATATATATATATATATATATATATATATATATATATTCTATCTTAATTTTACTTCATTCTTTCGTATTCTTACCATGACGCCCATGCAAATGGGTTAAATATTTTGTAATTGTTGATGTACCAACAACGTTGTATTGATCGATACAGACTTTCTCCCACATATGTGTTCGTAAACGGTATATGATCCATGATTGAACCTCTCCCAAAAACTCGAGTTATTGGGATCAACTGGTTCTTAACATGGTATCAGAGCCTACTGTGACCGTGAGGTCTTCTTAATACTGCTAAATACCGCCGGTACGATATTTTCTGGTCGAACCGCCGATACGATATTTCAATCCTTGATTAGAAGTTCTCATCCTTGCCTAGTATTTTCTGCCAGGGTTAATCATACGAATCATGTAGGAAAGAAGAACCAAGCATGAAACCAGGTTGGGCTTCGTTAAACCCGTCGAGATATGGCATTGAAGAGGCTTTCAACTTACTATTCTCGTGAATGTAAGCTCAACACTATCTACGTGTTGGATATGTATAATATGTTTGATACTAGAGGTCATTTTGGAGGTGCTGAACTTGGTTAGTAGTTAGTGTATTTGGTTGCCCATTGAGAAAAGCATAAGAAAAGGGAGGCTAATGGGTGAGCTAAAGAGGCTCAAAGAGGTGGATTTTTAGATCTTAGTTTAAGATATTGGAGGAAAACTAAATGTGATTGTTTAGAGTGTGATGTCGGTCGGCGGCGTGCGTTCATCATTATCAGTTGACAACTCATTCTTGTTATTCGAATATCCTTCATTGGACAATTTTTTTTAGAGCTATTGTGTTCATACCCAACTTTGTTTCCGCTAGACAGTCTTCAAATTCTCCTGTGGTTGAACCTCGATCTCGAAGTGCCCTTTCTTCAAGTCAACGTCTTCATCGTGGCATGCATGATACACCAAGCGATGCAGTTTGTTCCTTCTGTAAAATTTTATTGTATCCATCTTTAGATTCAATTCGAAGTGGATTGCATAGCATCAATTGTAAATTCTCCTTCGTGCTTGCACAATTTTTACCCCCTTATTTTGTTATGCGATCTTGTAGTAAGAATCATATCGTGGATTTCTAGAAATGGATGTCATATCAAGCCAGTCCTTAATCCTTTCATCGTTTTCAAATATATATCTTGGGACTAGCAAAGTTAAGTCAACGTTGCGAATCTATTATGTGTATGGATTATCAAAACTGAAAAAAGTTTACAAGCTATTTTTAGTTTTTATTTTTCGGTCGATGTTGATAAGAATGACCGGATGGTTACATGGTTGATGATTGTATACAAACAATAATCAACTAAAATATAAATTTCATCTCTATTAATAATAGTCCAAATTTTCATTCCAAAATTAAAGAATGAAATGGTGAACAAATACAGATCTTATAAATGAATTTGAAATATAAATAAATCAGTTGCAGATTTTAACGCTTTGGTTGGGCCAATCCAAATCTAACCTATGCCATTTGCCAACTCTTTTCATCGGGAATGGATCAGGTCAATAACCTTATGGTGAGTAACCATGAGTAACCCGTCCACATCAGCATGACATCAGCATCCTCTCTCTCATGGAAAGCCTTTAATTTTTCCCTCTTTAATCTTTGACGGACGATTTCTCGCTCATTTTAAGTCGAAATTTAATTTTTTTTGCACAGTTAGATCAGATTAATTGTCCTCTTCAAAATGATATCCACTTTAATATATTTTTCGAACAAAAAAAATTGAGCCATTTTTTACCAGCCTATACCATATGGTATTGACTGGTATTGAAATAAAAGAAAACCTATGTTTTGAAAAACGTACCATGGTGGTATGAACAAACCAATACTGTAGGATGGTTGAATACATGATAGTAAAAGTATATTAATTGTAATTTACGACTTTTAACATTGTATACCACACAATACCACCCCGTACCAGGGTGGTATTGTATGGTATTGTGTGGTATTTTTTGGTCCTGTAATTTGTTCACCCAGAAATTTGTAGATCCAATAGATCATGATGAACTCGTCCCTTCTGTGCAAACGTTTTCAAAAACGAATTAAAAGCGAAGAAGATACCATACAATACCACCCCGTACCAGGGTGGTATTATATGGTATTTTTTGGTCCTGTAATTTGTTCACCCAAAATTTGTAGATCCAGTAGATCATGATGAACTCATCCCTGCTGTGCAAACGTGTTCAAAAACGAATTAAAAACGAAGAAGATACCATATGGTATGCAGTTCGTACCGAGAGACCAGAATGTTTTTTCCTAAAAAAATATTGAAAATTGATCTCATTTTGTAGAGCACGGTGAACTCGTTCCATCTGTGCAAAAAAAATTAAAATCCGAGTTAAAACGAAAAAGATATGAGTCAATTAAGAAAGCTAGTGAAAATAAAAATAGCCTTTAATTCTCCATCCTTAGATCTGAATTTTCTAAATGAAGGGTCCAGATTTGGTTATTGATGGGTCCTCGAGCCCATATCCAATCACAGACCTTTCAAGACCACAAAGTTCAATCCAAGATAGACCTAGACGCCACGTGGCAAGAACCCATTAGTCCCAATCGTCCATATAGGATAAGGAAATGGATGACTGTGGCCTCCCTGAACTGAAATCTCAATAGCCAGCAATTCCCTACCCTTTAACCTTACTTTCCCACTCAAAAACTCCCCCACCCTTAACCCATTTGAGAATTTGAGATTGTCATCCAAGCTCCAAGCAGAAAAAATGGCGTCAATGACCATGGCAGCATCTTTCCTAGCTGGATCCACCATGATCGCCAAGCCCATCACAGCTCCACGCAGAGGCCTGATCATGGCGGCCAAGGCATCATCATCATCATCCAATGATGTGGAGATCAAGAACAACAAGAAGGAAGAGAGCAACAACGGAAGGAGGGATCTGATGTTCGGAGCTGCTGCAGCAGCAGCTTACTCCATTGCCAGAGCTGCCATGGCCGATGAAGATGAGCCCAAGAGAGGTACCCCACAGGCCAAGAAGAAGTATGCCCCTGTTTGTGTCACCAATCCTACTGCTCGCATCTGTCGCTACTGATGTAAAAATAGAGATGACAGCTTTGCATCTCTCTCTCTCTATCTCCCTTTCTCTCTTCTTTTGAATTGCTGCAGAAGTGCTTCGGTTTGATGAACTATTGCTGTTCAGTGCTTTAATGTAAGAGACCAAGAGTTTCGTGGTTGGCTGTATGCATGTATGTACCCATTGAAACAATCACTCTTCGTAATCTCCATCACTTCCTTTTCCTTGACTGCTCTGTTTTGGGATAATCAAGTTGTTCCTCTCGGCTGCAGTATCCTTTGGCGATTGAATCCATCATCTTCAATCTTTCTCAAAGTTGATTACTTTGTGCTACCAGTGATGTTTACAGAGTTACAGTTAGGTGCAGCCAGCTGCAAACATTAGCTATGACCGCTTCTAGTCATTGTTATCCTTGACGTGTGGCTGTTAAAGTTCAACGATCATTCCTTCGAAGGAGTTTTATGTGCCGAATTTGTCTTCTTCAGTTGCATGGTCTGGTCTTGCTCAGAACTGGATTGAATGGATATGAGACAAGATGGTCCACTACAGAACTGGATCTACTCGGACTCCATGGAAAATGAAGGAAAATTTTCGGATCAAAATCATATAAAAAGTGTATTTGATATGATCTAGTTCAAGTTACTCGCGATTCGATGAAATTCTTTCATTGTTTTAGTGATGCATGGAAACAACAGCAAAACTCTGAATTTGATTCAGATACTTGGGTCAGTTTGATTCAGTTATCCAGGACAAGCACATCCTCTGACCTTCATGAAATCAAATTGGTTCTAGCTAGAGCCATCAAGATTCAAGACATATAAATTCATCATGGGGCTGAGGTTCTAACTTCTAATCATGCCTGTTTTTGTTTCAAACAAGTTGTTCTTGAGCAGACTGAAAAACCACAACCTTAATAATTCAATGGCCAGAAAGCGAGGCATTTCAGCTAAAAAAAGATCACATTCTTGAGTCAAAGATAAGAGAGATTAAAGGCCACATAATCTCCCGCCAAATCAGATTTTGAGTACATGGCTAAAGCTCTCGCTATTATGCATGGCTACTCTAGGAAGACAGGTCCGATGGAAAAGCCTGTACAGCTAAAGCACAAAAATGGAATACAAAATGGCTAACCAAAAATCCAGAACAAGGTTTGTTGATTCTCATACACAAACTGTGCTTATCAAAACAAGGAAGATCTCAGGTTCGCCCTTGGAACCAACCCTTCTGATGACAGAGTTATTCTGCTTTACCGTTCTCCTGGGCAGCAACGTAACTGCGAACAATTTCCATAGCCAACTGATGAGCAGTCTTGTTCTGCAGCTTAGCTAGTCCGTCCATCTTATCATACGTATCCTTGTCCGAGAACAGCCTCAAGTTGTACCTGGTTGGTGCAGCTTCCACGCCTTCCCATTTGTCCACCCACTCTTGCAGTTTCTCGAATCCCTGGAAACAGGTGGTTGGTGTCAAACAGAGTGTCTACCAATGTAGATAGCAAGGTTCAAAAATAGGGAATCGAGTAGTAGCTTACCACTCGGTTTGTGAAGTCGCCAAATGATTCCTTGGACTGTCTTCTCCGTTTCCAGTGATAGAACAGAGGCTCAAAGACATTTTCAAGGTCTTGAACTTTGACCTTGTTCAAGAATGTTCTAGCTAACACCGTTTGGTTTGGAGCTCCCCCCAGCCAGATCTGTTTCAACAGAAGAATGTCCAAGTTCGGTTCTTTGAGTGACAGGAAGAAAGAAGCATGGATCAAACTTGAACAAAGATATAATACCTGGTAGCTGTTGGGACCATCTCCAACAAGTCCAAGTTCAGCCATGTATGGTCTGGCACAGCCATTAGGACAGCCAGTCACTCTTATTACCACAGACTCATTGTACTTCAGACCGACCTGAAAAACAATTTAACAGATAATTTAGTTGGATATATTGGCATAGTTATACTTGCCATAACAAAAAATTATGACATATAATATTCATTTGTAAAGACATTGAACCGAAGACACAATTACATTTCAGCAACTAGCTCAGATTGGGATCTTACTACAACAGAACTTCAACAAGTGAGTGCCAAGTTTAGATGTGTGATGAACTAGTTCAGCAAGCCAAGCTAAAGTACCTTTTCAAACACAGCTCTAACGCGTTTCAGGATATCAGGTATCCCACGTTCAGCTTCAGTTATGGCCAATGGGCAAAGCGGGAAAGCTGGACATGCCATGGCTGTCAAGTTGAGCGGGTCAACATATTTTGGTTGCTGTCAATGTTAATGAGAATTGTTAGAAACCCGAACAATAGAAATACGAATTGGAAACCGAAACTTCACATGTGAATGGCCTGGATATCTTACCAGCAAGCCAGCTTGAGCCAGAGTTGTGGTAATAGGGCGCTTCCATGCTTTCTTTATCCCACACAAGACTATGTTCTGGTTTGCTGTGATACGAACATCCAAGTTGTACTTCTCTATCACCTCCCTCAATGTCGTCTTCATTTTTCCTCCAACTCGGCCATTGTCCACATGCAGGCCACAGAATAATGCACCATCTCCCTAAGTTTTCACAACCCATCAGAATACATACATAATGTGGGGAAAAAGGACAGAGCTTTTGTGAGAATAAATGAACAGCAATAGGGACAAACCTGCTCATGCCATCCCAAGTGACTCTTAAACTCCCACTCAGGCAATTCGCGGAATTGCTCGAATTTCTTCCCATAGTATTGCTCAACAACATCCCGGAACTTTTCGATCCCCCACGAGTCGATCAAATACTTCATTCGACTGTACCTCCGGTCATCTCTCCTACCGTTCTCTCTCTGAGTAACAACAATAGCTTTAATTGCATATAATATGTCCTCTTTTGGCACATACCCTAATGGATCAGCTAATCGGGGAAATGTACTCTCCATCCTATGGGTTCTTCCCATGCCACCACCAACCTGAAACAAAACCGCACGTTATCGAATACAGAGTTCGCGACATTCTTAACAAAGCAATTAGACTATTAAGTTGATTCAATCTTACATAGATATTGAAACCCTGAGGCTCGCCATTCTCATCGCTAACCACAACCACACCAATGTCATTCGTCAAAATATCCACAGAGTTATCCCCCGGCACAGTAACCGCAATCTTGAACTTCCTAGGCAAGAACTGAGTCCCATAGATTGGTTCAGGAGAATCAGGAAAATTCGTCCCATGAGAATTATCATTCCTAGCCTTCACCACTTCAGGAGCCTCAGCCGTCATGAACTTCTCCCCATCAACCCACATATCATAGTAGAAACCAGACTGCGGAGTCAGCAGGGCAGCAATATCCTCAGCAGTCTGCTGAGCAAACAGGTAGTCTTTTTTCGCCAACGGAGCAGGCGGTGCAAGAACATTTCTATTGAGATCTCCACAAGCTCCAAGAGTCGACCCCATGCTGTGAATGATGCTGCTCATCACAGTCTTGAGGTCTTTCTTCACAACCCCATGAAGCTGGAACGTCTGTCTGGTGGTCAGGCGAAGAGTCCCGATCCCGAATTGATCGGCGAGATCGTCCATGGTTAAGTACAGCTTGTTGGGAACCTTGCCACAAGGGTTCTTGGTACGAAGCATGAAGGAATAGGATCTCCCACCTCTTTCTTCACGGTTGTACTGCTGGTAGCTCCCATGGAACTTGATGAGCTGAACCGCGCTCTCGTTAACATTGGGAGCCTCTGTCAATAGCTCTTCGTTGAGCGGGTATCTTATGAAATTGCTGTGCTCTTTGATGATCTCGACCTTGCTCCGCTTAGTCTCGGTTGCAGGCTTCACCGGCTGCAAATCGTGAACCAAATTCGTTCATTTCCCATTTCCCAAAACAGCAAAATAAACATGAAAAGAACGGAAAGATTCCACCTTCATTGCATTCTAGGCAGCAATATCAACGGAGAAACATATTCAAGTGCAAAAGTAAAGCCATCTTCATTCTTCGATCAAATTGAAAAACCCAGAAAGCACAAACGAAAAGGGGAAAAAGAGAAGCGCGAGGGAATCTTACGGTGGAGACAGCTTTTATGGTGGAAAGGCGCCGGGGAGTGGGTAGCGAGAAGACACCGAAATGTCTGGTGAGAGCGAGGGAATTGGAAGAGGAAGAAGAAGAGCTCCTCAATCCGTCGAAGCCCCGGAGCTGAATCGCGGGTTCCTTCAACGTCGCCGTCGTATTGGCAGCTCCGAACGTCGCCGCCGCCATAGGAGCGAGTGGAGGAGGAATGGATTAGCGAAAGACAGGAAATGGAAGAGGGGAAAGCGAAAGCCGGAGAGAGTGGCTGTCGAAGTGGAGAAGTGGTTAAATATATATCTGGCTCCATGTGGAATCTTCACGTGCATGACACGAGTACCTTCTCTGCACGCGCCGCCAGGAGCTAGGCTCTCGAACAAGTGGCAAACCACGAACAGAGACGGCGGCGCGTGATACAAAGTATAGGCAGTGTGGCAGACATGCGAAACCCAAATTGGATTCTGTCGAACATTGAACATGGACGCTATTCCGTACTCTCTTAAATGGGCCGCAAGCCCAATTACAGAATCGGGTCAAACCGGGTCGCCGCAAATGAAAACGGCCGTTGGCCGCCACAAAGGGTTCACAGATTGGAAGAAAGTTTGGCTCTTCACTCTGAATGTTTATGATAGAGAAACAAAACCAGAGAGAGAGAATTTTGATTTGTGTTCGCTAGCTTTGATTCAATTCACACATGGTTTGGACGTTTCTATTGTTTCAACCTACATATTTGGATAAATCGATCTATTTCAATGCGTTCATATCAGTTTAAACAAGAATATGATATATTTCAGTTATTACATAACGAACTGATTTAATCAACCATACGCTGAATTTCGGCTGTTACATTGCATAACACATATCTACTTAGTAGTTGTCATTCCATAACGATTTTAATTAACCACACGCTTTAGCTGTATATGTCTGGCACCATTGGAGCTTCTACCTTGTGTTGATTAATGAAAGCTACCATCCTTTCACCAGAACGAGCTTCTTCTCCTTGCTGCACTGAATTCAAATCTATGGAGTTCCTAGGGGTTTCTTGCTTCCATGTAAACTTGGAACAAGAACCTTATCTTGCATGAAGTGGGATTGCAAGAACATGAAGAGAGCATAAGAATGTAGTTAATAAAGGAGTTTACTTCCTGAGAATGGGACTGTAAGTTTGAAGTCATGTTCCCCAATCCCACCAAAAGATGAAAGACCTCAACTTTCACATACAACCCGGTAAAGGGCCAAAATGGTGACTAGACTACTACTACCAGTTCTTTTGTGGGCTATATCTACACAAGACATTAGACATATACCTAGCTTAGCTACTAGCCTATTACCTTTCATCTCCACTGTTAGTTCTTTTGTTCTCTCCATTTTGCTCTCATTTGCTTGCCTGACTGCCTCCCTTTGGTTTGAAAGGATTGTCAATCAACATTCTCAGAAACCACACCTTCAGATTCATGTGAAACATGTCCATCACTGTCACCTGATAACTCATCCAAATCTCCTTCACTGGTCACTTCTTCTGCTGAATCTTTGACTCTTTTTTTGGACTTGGGTTCGAGTTGCACGATCTTGAAATCCTCATGGGGCAGAATTTGCAGCTCGAATTTCTCTTTCTTCAAGTCAAGATCTTCCTTATCACCATCATCGTACACAACATGATGCAGCTTCTTCCTTCTGTGAAAGCTTTCAATCTTTCCAGTGAACCATCTCCTTGATCCAGACCAATACACTTTCACCCTTTTCCCCACAATCCTTTTATCATCCTTGTCATCCAAGTCCACCATTCGAAACACAGGCACCAGTTTTCTAGGACGAAACCTTGATGGTGGTGGTGCCGAGTTACCCTTTGCTGAGGACAGATATGAACTTACTATCTCAGCATCTGCTCCCCTCCTCTTTTTCTTCTGATTCGGGTGCGGAGTTTTCAGCATCTTCTCTGGAGCTGCTCCCCTGGTAACTTGATCATTCCTTTCCACCAGACCCCTCTTCTTGTTCTTCTTCTGATAATAATTCAATGTTGGAGTAGTCAGCAACTTCTCTCTGTCACCACCAGCAACTTCTTCCTCATTCAGTTTGTTCTTCTTTGGCTTGTTCTTGGGTGACACTGCTGCTCCTGCAGGCTTCTCCTTCTCCTTCACATTGTTACGGCGGCCTCTTAGTTTGTACGTCTTTATCAGTGCATTCTCATCCCTCGGCTTGGTTGCAGCTTCTTCCCCAGTCACTTGATCATTCAATTCCACCACTGCCACTCCATGAGCTATGACACCATCTTGAGAAACTGGCCTCTTCTCTTCCATCTGAATAACACTAAGAAAATGCACGCGATAAAGGAGATGCTTGAGCATCCTAAAGAATGGTATCCATGAAGCCCAAATTGAAAACAAATGCCTGCAAATGCTGTTCTACGTACGTATAAAGCAACTAGACTGCTTGAAACAAGAAGTAACCAAAATTTCTCCGAGTTATCAGACATTGCTAACACTCCAAGTTATCAGAAAATGCATGTGAAGCAACTGGACAGTATGCAACAAGTAAACAGATTCTTCAAGTTATCAGATCTTGGTAACATTCCCGACCCTATATGCCCCTGAAACTTTACATTTGGGTAGAGGCTAGAGGGTTTTAGGAAAGGCTGTTCAGTGAGACACATGAAAGAGGAAGAACCCAAAAGCAACCTCTTTTTTGCGGCGGTTTGACAGTTTGAAACAAGAAGTACCCAAAATTCTTCAAGTTATCAGACCTTGCTAACACTCCAAGTTATCAGAAAATGCATGCAAACAAAAGAGAAGGATACCCTAGCATCCTTTAGAATGGTACCGAAGCCCAAATTGACAACAATGCCAGCAAATGATGTTCAATGATTCACAAGGAAACACTCATACATATGAAGCAATTCAACAGTTTGCAACAGGAGGTTATAATACCTTGCCGTTCCAAACCCTATATGGCCATGAAACTTCACATTTGGGAAGAGGCTCGAGGTTTTATGGAAAGGTTGTTCAGTGAGACACATGAAGAGGAAGAACCCGAAAGCAAACTCTTTACTGCGGCTCAAGCCCCCAAAACCCCATAGAAAACGCCTCTAAAATTGGTTTACTATGCTGTCAAAACCTAGGTTTTCATGGAATCGAAACAGGTGTAAATGCAAGAATTTCAGGCAGATACGGGTTCAAACAAATGGAATCTGCTAAAATGAGGAACCTACACTCTCAAACCCTACAGAAAATACCCTAGTTCCAGAGCAACATTCTGGAAAACCTACACCCTCAAACTCACTTCATAGCTTCAAGCCATCAACAATGAGGAACCCGGTAATAAACAATATGCAGGGCATTCATCAGTAAGAGCCGAAGGAAAGCAAGAAAATTGGAAAAAAATGGATGGAAACAACAGAAAACCAACCTGATAAAGCTTGCTCCTTTCCGCTAGAAGCCTAGAACTGCGCCTCTAAACCCCTAACCCAGAGAAAAGAGAACTCTGGCTTCTGGGTCTCTCTCAGGGAAAAGGAACCCAGTGGGGGAGCAGAGGAGGAGCCAAATTCCCAAAAAGACCCCGACTTTGGTACTGCTTGGCAACCACGATACACAACAAGACAGGTCCCGTATTCTGTGTGAGAGATTTGAAAACTGTGAACTGTGGCAGACCTGGCAGCCTTTGCGTGGAGTTAATCCTCTTGAGGGGTGTTTTGGGGAACTTGAAAGTGATTTTGGCAAAGGCTGTGAGGCACATCATCAGTCACTGAAGTGGCGGGAAAGGTAATGAGGTATGCCAAGTGGACGCCTTGACTATGTTCTTGTAACACTCCTGTAACATTAGCGGGTCACCGAAAGCAGGATCAACCAGGCAAACTGAAGGAATGACAGCTTATTTTTGTTCATCAGTGATTGTAGCAGAAGTGAACTTCAGTGCTCTGTGGTACTATGATATCAGCCACCGATGAATGATCTTTCTGGTGACATCCTTATAGATATCATGTTTAAATTCGTTTTATAGCGTTGATTTTATGATATTCTAGTCGGATTAGGATTATGTTCATACTTATGCGACGTAAAAGAAAATCAGATGGCTAAGTCATTGTTTAACTGGCACTCTTCATGAGAATGGAATCCAAATTCTTGAACTGATCTCTATTACTAGAAACCATCAAACTTCTGGAAATCATAACTTAATGCTCTTGGATCTTAGTTCAAAGTAGCAAGAGAACTCAACTGAGACAAAATTCGCAAGAACAATACACAATGAATGAATGTCGATCAAATCAACAATTTTAGACAAATCATAAAAACTCTCCTATGAGCATTGGCTCAGTAGAATAGAAACAACAAGAAGCATAACCAACTGAAATTGTCAAATAATATATTTACAACCACCAACTTGTGCATTCTGTTGATGTCCCCTACTCACTCACTCAACAGATTTCACCCCCTCCAAAAAACCATCTTTGATTTTTCTGCATTTCTACACAACTCTCTTAACAAAATAATTCTGCACAAACTCATCAGAATGACAAACAAACAAAAGAATAGTAGTGCTAATATCTCTCTATTTGCTCTTTCTACTACCTATCATCCCCAAATGATCCTCCCCCAAGGAGTAAGATGAATGGACGAAAAAATGATGAAGCAATACCAGCAAGTTTAGAGAGCCAAACAAAAAGGATTTTCCCCCTTTTCCCTTTGGGACACAGGTGGGTTTTTCTTTCCTCCTGATTCGTGCCTAACAAGCTACCTGCAATGAACCATCTCTCATCAATTTCAGGCTTAGGTTGTTGAATCTTTCCCTCGAGTATTGCCTCGATGCTTTTCTCCAGTCTGTGCCTGATTTCATCATCGTTGCAAACTCCTCATAGCTTATTCGCCCATCCTGCAAGAGAACTCCCCTAGATGTCAATTTCATCATCGAATTAACTATCTGCTATAGCCTTTTAAGGCTTGTGGGGTTTTCAAAAAAATCAAACCTTGTCGGTGTCAACGTCTTGCATGATGGCAATTAGAACGTCCTCACTACATGTGTCTACGTCATCATTCAAGGCTTCTCTCAACTCCTCCATCTCAATGTAACCACTCTTATTTTGATCAAAGAATCCAAAGGCTTTGTGCAGATGCTCGTCGTTTCCCATCTTTTTAATGTGAATGGTAACCGCGACAAACTCTCCATAGTTGAGAGTTCCATCACCATCAATATCAGCCTAAAGAAGAAAGAAAAAGGTAAAGTTAGCCCTTCTGTCAAACATACACAAGAGTTATTTGTTCATTTTGGAAGAGTTGAATATGAAGAAAATACTTACACCTTCCATAAGGATTTGAAGATCTGGATCGGTAATCTGTTGGCCGAGCTTTTGCAATCCAACTCTAAGCTGATCAATGTTAATCCTGCCCTTTTTGGTAGTGTCCATCATGTCAAATGCCTCCTTTATGCCAGCCACTTCCTCTGATGATAAGTGCTCGGCTATCACCTACAAATGAACAGCTCAAAACTATGAGTGGAAGCACTACAAATAACAAAGTTTTGAAGCAACTGTTTGAAGCAAGACTACATAGCCAAATTAGTAGATAATCATTACCCTCAAAGCTCTCTTCTTGAGTTTGTTCATCATTGAAAACTGTTTGAGCCTTGTTCTCACAGTCTCGCCCAATGGGACATTCGGAGCCTTCTTAGCATTCTGTAGCCAAGTGTGATCTGGAAACAGGAAGATGAAACAAGTGAACCCATGCGGCTAAGGGAAAAATTAAGTTGTGGAACAGTACCGATCAACAAGCATAACCATACCAAACACTTGCTGAGCTGTGAGGCGCTGTTTAGGATCAGGATTGAGCATCTTCCTCACTAGATCCTTTGCATTATCTGAAACTTTAGGCCATGGATCCCTCTTGAAATCTATGACGGATCGTATTATTGCTTGTGCTACGCCCTGCTCCGTTTCTGTATGAACAAGCAAAGTAGTTTCTTAGCATTAAAATTTAAAATCAACAACTAAAACAGTTTTCAAAGCAAATGGAGACTAGCAATGATAACATGATGAAGCCTTATAATGTTCTACATGCCTCATAGATAAAGATATGTTAACATTTGAGTTCCAAGAACAAACCTGCCCAAAAGGGTGGCACTCCACAAAGCAGAATGTAGAGGATAACTCCAGCACTCCACACATCAACTTCTGGGCCATAATTCCGTTTCAGGACCTCAGGAGCCATATAATAAGGACTTCCCACTATCTCATTAAACCTCTCTCCTATAGAAACAACAAAAGCACACATTCAAGCCATTAGAATCATCAAAATAACATGCTGCATCGAGATCACAACCCAAAATCCGTAGCATATAGTATCATACATACAGTACAATACCAGGTTTAAAGAAGACGGACAACCCAAAATCGATCGCCTTTAATGCAGACGTCTCCTTCTTATTTTCAAACAGGAAGTTCTCAGGCTTGAGATCACGGTGCATCACCCCATGCTTATGACACATCTATCGGCATAGATACAAGAATTCATAATCAGTTACCTTTGACCAAGCTATATGATGAATAACAAGCTGGTCAAGACTGAACTAACCTGAACAACTTCAACAATCGTACGCATAACAGCAGCTGCTGCCCTCTCAGTGTAATGCCCCCTCGAAACGATCCTATCGAAAAGCTCTCCTCCCTCGCAAAGCTCCATTACAATGTGAACATCACTATCATCCTCGTACGTGTCCTTAATCGAGACGATGTTGGGATGGTGTGGCAAATGCTTCATGATCTCCACCTCCCTCCTCACATCCTCAATATCAATCGCAGTTCTCAGCTTCTTCTTCGAGATCGATTTGCAGGCGTACTTATTATCAGTGCTCGTTTCAGTAGCCAAATACGTGATCCCAAACTCTCCTCGGCCAAGCTCCCGCCCCAGATCGTAGTTAGCTGAGATGTCGCGCCCTGTGGGCTCTTTCAATACCTGCAGCTTCTCGTTAGATCCATTGACGACGTAGTCAGTGTCGAACGATGGGTTGCTGCCTTTGTTCTTGTTCTTGGCTTTATCTTGTTTGTTCTTTCTCCCAGGGGATCCATGGGGAGAACTGTTACTACCGGGGCTTGCGCAGCAGTTCCCCATGTCGATCCCAAAATCTCGGCAACAGCAGCAGCAGCAAGCAAAAGTTCAAACCTTTCTGAACTAATATGCAGAAAACAGAATCCGAAAAATCACCATGAAGCCAAAGCAAGAAGAACAGATAGAACTACCAAGAATATGGAATCCCCACAACCAGGTCTTTGATTCCAAGAGGTATACCCCTCAAAATGCTGAGATTTGACATCAAATTGAAACAACCATACATCAATATCCAATAACTAAACCCACATCAGGCACCAAAAACCCAGAGATGAAATGGCAGCACCACCTTTCTGAACAAATTTTTTTTATGCATGGAAATTGCTCTCTCTAGAAAAACACACAGACACAGTCTCTCTCTTGGGATTCAAAGATGAATTCATGATGCAAGCAAGGATACAGAAACGAAATATGCAAAAACAATTCAATTTGTTTACCCTTTTCTCTGTTGTGTTCACTTCTTCATTTGTTTTCTCCCTTCCTTCCCTGTTCTCGCTTTCTTTCCCTCTGCCCTAAACATTAGTTTTACACAAATGGGAAAGGAAGAAAGGGCAATCCTCTCTCTCCCCCCAATTAATTTCTCCCTCTACCTAGAGAAAATTTAAATATGAATTTGCAAACTTTTTTGACAAAGATACTCAAACCATGGAAGGGGACTGGCTGCTAAATTTGGGTTTTTCTCGTTATGTTTCTCACCTGTCCAAATGGCTGGAGGAACGAGGGAGCTTTCTTTCCTTTTACCCTTTTAAGCAGCTAAAATGAGGGGATGGTGGCTGGTGGTGGGTGGAGTTTGGAGAAAGAAAGATCAAATCTTTAACCAAATCCCACGAGTGATTAGGCTACAAAATTGCGAGGAAAATATGTTTTGGAACGATATGTTTTCGATCGAAATCAAGATTTGCATGGCGACTTGATTCACAATTGAGCTGGATTCGATTGAATTGCAATATAGTGTGCAGGTATTATGATGTTGATGATTCAAATATTTGATTTCTCCACAAATGAATCAATGGTCCAGTGATACTAGCAACAAGATCAACCAGACTCCAAAATGATTCCAAGTTTATCCATTTTCCATCTTTGGCTTTTAGGAGTAGTGTAGGTGCTATCTATAAGGGGGAAAAAAACGAGTTAGTTTGAGATCTTACAACCTCTCCACCAATATACCCAACCTAGCCAATTCTACTTTGTTTTACATTGTTTAGGTCGAGTACAATTGGTGTAACTATAGATCATTTAGATCCATTAATTTCTTTTACTAGTCAAAATGGACAGAGTTGATTGTTACCGTTCTCAATTACTACTGAACAATTCACAAAATTTGTAAAAGAGTGGAAGATTATGGCGACTTTTCACTTTTCGCACACCGTAGAGAGAGTGATTCTTCATGAAATCGTTCACAAACAACGATGAACCATCGACGTAATGTGTAGGTACTCAACCATTCACAAAATTTGCAAAAAGGAGGGGAAATTATGGTAATGCTTATGAATTGAAACCACGAATTGGTATTTTACGTCAATGAGAAGAGAGATTGACATTGTGGATGAGAGATTGAAGTGACAATTCAAGCATTTGCAACCTTATAAGGCCAAGGGTTAGACTTGTCACTGCTTATTTATTCTAATCGAGTCACAGTTGATTTCATCCGTTGCTCTTTGGTGGACATCCGATAAAATTTTCAATTTCAGTTACGTAAAGGCCAATAGATCGACAAGGATCAACCAATGAACTTTGAAATCTAATTAATCTGTAACCACGCTTCGAGAACACCTAACTTATAGAATTCTCCGAAAAAAATACTGCTAATCTAGACAAGCATAGTCACCAAATCACCAATAAGTAATCTAACTCATCACACCATAAACAGTTACTTGTTACTCAAGGCAACGTTCAAGTACCTCTCATATTTCCATTCCAAGGACAAAACTTGAACCAACTTCTAAACCCTAAACATGCAATCGAGTAATACGATTCATCACATTCTCCCTCACCTTCTCCACAGCTCCCACAAACTCCTCCAGCTCTTCCAAACCCATCTCCTCCACCTTCTCCTCCTCCCACCAGAACGCCCCCCGGCCGCCGCCGCCGCCGGCGTAGCGGCGGAGGACGGAGTCGGCGTCAGGGTAACCGCAGGGGAAGACCTTCCCGCCGGGGGAGAAGGCGATGACTGCCACGTGGGCTCCGTACAGGAGGCCGAGCTCGGTGGCTTTCCTGAAGAGGCCCTTCCTCCGCTTGCTGAACGTGACCTGAAGCTGGCTCTTTTCCTCTATCTTCCTTATGGGTATTTTCTGCCGCCCTTTGGTTGCTTTCTGGTTATTCTTCTTCGCCGGCGATCTGTCGGCGGCGGCGGGGATCGTCATCGTATTCTCCTCCTCCGCCATGGTTTGCTGATGACAGAAGGGAATCTTTATATATAGTAGAAAAGGAAGTCGGGAAGTTAAAATATATAATATATGTACACTATATATTAATTAGCCGAAAAGTCAGGACAAATTTCCGAGATTTTCTATTCAATTGATTTTGTTTCCTATTCTTTGAACTTTTTTTCGCCCTATTTTGTATACTAACTTCCATTACTTCGAAGAGGAATTTTATTGGTGCTATATGTTTTTCGAAGAGGAATTTTATGGTATAACTTGAAATTGTACCTTTAACGTTATGGCAAAACTTCAGATTGTACCTATATTTTCTGTACAAGTTCTTTTATGGTACAACTTAAATTTGTACCTTATGTGATGGTACAACTTCAAGTTGTAAAGTTGTACCATAACATAATGATACAAATTCCTTTATGGTACAACCTAAACTTATACATTTAATGTTGTGGTACAACTTCAAGTTGTACATTAAAGCACCAATGCTATATAGCATAGTAGAAGTGCTCTAGTTCGAATTCTGTAAGAATTACTAGCTGGAGCTGTGCATGGACTGAAAATCGTATGAGATTTGAGGGTTAGGAAAGTAGTTCTTCTGCAGAATGATTCACGTTATAGTCGTTCAATTGATAGAGACCGCTATGCTTAGTCACCCGCATTATTATTAATGTGAATGAAATTCGGCATCTGTTAGTTTTAGATTGACACGATCTCTTATTGAGTATGTTTTTCGGGAGGGTAGCTATGTGGTGAACTATTTAGCTCCTCTAGGTCAAATGGTCTGCGAATAGGCGAGTACATTTTTCCTTCCCCTAATCTTTTGTTGGGTGTAAACTTATATGCAGTCACCACATTAGTAAAGCCGACTACCGGCACAAATCGAGCAACCCCAGACATAAGATCAGATCGGCTCAAATGCTACTCAAGTATATTATTATGCATCAACGAGTTGATGGCGTGGATCGAACACACGTCTTTAGTTTGTCGAACCAACATCCCCACCAGCTGAGCAACTCATGAACTACACCATATTCAAAGTGTTTTAGTCAACTCTTTAAGTTCAATCTCCTTCCTTGGCTTCCAAACAACTTCCCATCTATTAACCAATCCATTAACACTTGAAAGCAGCACATAGTTCATATGATTTGAGGGCTCTAAGTCTATCAAATTCCTGCCAACTTCATCCACCACCTCCACATTCCCATGTATTTCTCCACAGGCACTAAGCTGGGCTCTCCAACAATCTCTAGTGCATCTCGTAACAACCTCCAAGTTGGCATGGAAGAGAGGTATAATAATGAATCTTTTCATTATATATACCATTTCTCACATTCATCTCTATATATGTGTAAGCATAATTACAGGAACCCTTCAGGGGTTAATGGCTGCATCAACTGCATAACTCTGTATCGAGATGGTTCCATTTCCACCCTGATTGTAGCTCCAGGGGTTAGCTCTGGCCCATCTATGGCTGGCTTTATCACAGTGAGGAACAGTACATTGTAGAAGATGCTGAAGGCAAACAGAACAACTACAAGATATGGAACCACAGTAACTGGAATCTCTCTGAACTCTTCCTTCACTTGCTCCCTTGTAATCTTCACTTCTGAAGCTGCTCCCACCAAAACACAAGATTTACAGTCTCAACAACAGAAGAAACAGAGGGAAAATTGCAGACATTGGAGAACACAGAGAGAAAAATTATGCCCCAATTGGCCAATTCCATCTCTCTATGTAGAACTCCAAATCCCCATTAACTTTGGAGGTGAAATTTCGGATAAAGCTTGTAACTTTACTCCAAAATTGACAGAAAGTTGTGAACTTTTTCTTACTCCAAGCTACAGTGTTTTTACCTTTAACTTTTGGAGGGGAGACTTGCTTTGTGGAGAGTTGTTGGAGCTGCTGGTCAAGTTGCTGCAGGGCTTGCTTAGCCTGATCTGTGTCTACCTCATATTGTTCTTGTTGTTGAGAGTTCTTCTCCACTGCATGAACAGCAACCCAAGACTTTGAAGAACATGATTTTCTTCTTATTGCTCTGTTGAAGAAGATTCCATGAGCTGAGGAGACTTCACTGAAGGTTAGAGGCTTGTGATTGGGTGGGAAGGAGAGTAGTGGTTGGAGTGAAGAAGAAGACTGCATAGTTTGTGATATTCTTTTGAGAGGGAAGAGAAAAGGGTTAAGTTGGAAACTGGTTAAGAAGAGTGTCTGGATAAGAAAGGAAGGGAAGGAATGAGGCAAAGTTGCAGCTTTCTGTTTACTAGGGGCATTGTTTGGTAGCTCATGTGGGTCTATCCAAATATTGGATTTCCTCTCTCTCTCTTCTCTATTTGTTGATTAAAAACCATGGTCCATTAAACCGTACCGTACCGGCGGTTCAACCACAAAATACCAGTATTGGAGGCTAAACCTATAGGCGGTATTTAACGGTACTAACGGTTGAACTCTGGTTAAACCACGGTTTTGCCATAAAATACCCTACCGCTAACTTTTCCGGTACGGTCTCCGGTACGGTTTCATGGACCATGTTAAAAACAGGGTAAATTTCCATAATTCCATTGCCTCATCAACTAAAAAGTGTTATATAAATCAATATAACTCTTTAGGTATAAATAGGTCTTGGTGGATCAAGGCTAAGTTGTATTATTTTATAGATGTGAGAGGTCTGCATTATTCAAGTATCGAGATTTTGAAAATCTAAGACAGATTTAGGGTGTTGATCTGTATGTTCATTGTGGATTAAAATGAGAATAATCACCGATATAGAGTCAAGTTGTAATACTATCTTTTGGTATCAAATTGTCATGCCAATGATTAATCTACAATGACTCGTTAATTTTTTACATGAGCGATGAATCAACCTTTTCAATTGATGGTGTAAATCCCAAACAAATAATCCTTGTTAATTTCTAACCGCATCCATAACTATCATACAAATGGGTGGCCATTTGTCGATTCGGATTAGAAACGAAGTGAACTGACTTAGGACTAGACCAAAAATAAATTTTCTATAGTTCTTCTTCATATTTAAGATAATTTATAGATTCAAAATCAAATCAAAATTTATTCAATCTAATTCGATTCAATCAAAATATCAATTCGATATGATTCGATCCGATATGTACCGGACCGTTGCCCACCATGCCATCCACTTTTAGTGTTTTTGGAAATATATTTTTATGAGAGAAAGTTGAGATTTTTTTGTGTATTATGTGTTGACTTTCTTCATTCATATCATATGTGGATCCTTCTCAAAGAAAATTGATTACCCTACAAGGTAGGTCCCTTCAAGATCCCAATGTGATGACTTGGCAAGATCTTAGTGGCCCAGGTGGATCTACCCATGTCATTAGCCATAAAACAGGTAGCCAGTTGAGAGAGAGAGAGAGAGAGAGAGAGCCCAATGCTTTCTTTCTCCAGCACTCACTTTGCTTGTAATTTCAAGTTTTCAACTGCCTATAAAGGAACAAAAATTAAAGATAAAAAACGGACAATTCTTACCAAAATTTAAAAAAATGAAAAAGGGTACATATGAAAAATCGAAGTGTCACACAGAACAACAGAAGTAACAGAGAAAACGATTAGAAATCAGAGAGAAAAGAAAGAAAATTTCTGCCCCCAAATTGAGAGAGAGAGAGGGAGAGTGGGAAGTAATGCGAGAGATGAAGAAACCCGGCGGAGCAGACAAGAAAAGGGTTCGAAGATCGTCGGCAGCGGTGCAGAACGGCGGTCGAGATCCCAGCTCCGATACTCCGCCTAGGGTTCGTTTGATCTACTCTGCTAATTGTCGTCCTTAACCCGCCTTTCTGGAGTTAAAATGTGGCATCTTTTTGATTGTTTGTTTTGATGTGGGATTTTGTGAAGTTGGGTTGTCTCCGTTTTGCAGTAAATGCACCTCCCTCGTGTTTGATTGCCGAGAAAAGTCGGTGGAAGGGGGTTTTGATTGAAGGGTACGATTGTTGGCTGTGAAAATTTCGTCTTTTGGTACTGGAAAGGTCCTCAATTTGGTGTAGCAGGCTAGCAGATACAAGGGTTAGTTAGAGCTTGTGCGTACTAGTCAATTCGTTAGTTGAAAAGGGAGAGTTTACGAATTGGACCGAGTTCTTACGTTGTCAATTTGTCTTTAGTCCCACAATTGAGCTCTTTGTATGTGTTTGTTCACTCACTGCCTACTGGGATTAGGGCTTATTTCTCTTGTTGAGATATGCTTGTTAATCAACCTCTTCACACATACGCCTAGGTTGATTTGGTGCTTGAGGATGGTATTTTTTGATGCTGTTAACTTATGGGTTCCCTTTGTATGCTGCTTGAATTGCTGTAGTTTTCTTCTCCCATTCTGTTTCTAGTGTCTCATGTAGTGAAATCCCTCTTGTTAGTTGCTATCTCTTGGTCGGAAGGGCTGCACTAGATGTAATTGGCTGGCCAGAATCACAGACTTGTACTAACCAAGTTGCGTGGCTGTTTCTTGATATACAATTTGATCCCCTTTCATTACAGCAATGAATTCATGTGAGCCTTACAATGTGCCATGGAATTGGCACACTGCTATGTAGTGATTTCAGCTGTTTGTCGTTTTGATATCTCTATATCTGATGTCTGGTTTCTATGCTGACTCGTAATCATGAGAGCCTTGCGGCTGTACTTCTTCCTTCACTCTCTTCGGCTGTTTACTTCAGTGGTTATATTTTTGGTATGCTTCCCATCGTTTGCCCATTTATTGAAGTGCCCTTGCTTGTGTTATTTGCTTCAGAAACAGCCTGCAAAGAAAGATGTCTTCCAGTTGTTTGCTGAGAAGGTGAGGGACCACAAAGAACTGGTCTCCCGTTGGGCTGTCCTTCAGGAAACTCGTGTGGAATATTTCAGGGGTAAGGACTTTGTAAGCTTTCTGAAAAATCATCCAGAGGTGAAGGAGATACTGGAATCAGAAAAGAACTTGGAGGTCGAAGAAATCGCCGACGTTCTATTGAGTAAAAACCTCTTGGTGCGTTGTGATCGGGTGGTGAAAACTATTCGTCCTGGGAAGAAAAAGTTGTCAACATGGCCAGCACATTTAGAGATATTCCCTGTAAGGGCCTCTTCTTTGTCTCTGTCAATTCTCATTTCATGCTGTCTTCATTAAACTTGTGTTAACTATATGTTGTCTTTGGCAGGATCAAGTGTTCTCAGATAATGACGCTTTCTTCGCATGGGCGTTTGTGAAACGAAGGCCACTTTGGCAAACACTTCTCTCGTTTTTCTGGCCCGTCTTGACTCTAGCAATATGTTTGTTTCCTGTATATCCACACCGGTGCAAGCTTCTGATTCTCTACTCATGTGCGGGTGTCCTTTTGCTCATTCTCTCCCTCCTTTTGTGTAAGTACTGCTTTCTTTAACTTGATTATTGAGGTTCAAATATCCTGTGGTCATCTCTGCTGGTAGTCGTGTGCATGGTCCGTTGTGGTCCATATATTGGCTTGAAAGTAAGGAGAAAAGGAGGACCTGAATCAATTAAAAGAGAATCCAATCTGGTTTGTCTGGTTTGGTTTTCTTTTTCCTTTTGATTTTTATACAATTCATGGAATATGAGAATCAGGCCCCCGAATCAAATTATTAGTTGATATGGTCCCATTTAATTCAGTGAACCAAATCATTGCATACCCCCAATCCATGGATATGTAATTATGTATGGACCATCATGGCTATGGGTCATTTGACATTTCCTCTAATAATTGTTTCAGTGAGAGCCACAGTATTTGGTACTCTATATATCCTTCTAGGAAAACGAGTTTGGTTCTTCCCCAATATCCTTGCTGAGGAAGCTACATTGAGCGAGTTATTCCGATTCTGGCCCCAAAAAGACGAGGAGGAACGCCCTAAGTGGACAACGAGGCTTTTGTATACTGTTGTTGCTGTGTCAGTTATATTGCTGCTGAGACATCATGCACCTGATGAGGCAGCAAGACTTAGGTCCGTCCTCTTCCTACTATCTTCTGTTCTGCTGTACATATTCGCGCCCAGACCACATGTAGGGAGTTTTTCTTATGGAGAGCTGATATTGGGAATCCATGTTGTTTGCAGGTATCAGAAGAGGATGTCCAACATTATCGATGACGTGCTTGAGTGGTCTCCAAGGCTAGCGTTATCCGGGTTCATGGACAAGCCACAAGATGTAGCTAATGTGACTGATTCTGGAAGCAATTATGCAGACGGTAGTGGTGAAGCACAACCGGAGAATACGCCTCCGGTTGAGGATTCTGGTGAGGGAGATGAAGCTGTGGTGGAGAGTAATGAGGAAGATGTAGGAAGTTATGAAGAAGACAGCAGCAGTCATGGTGAACAGGAGGATAATCATATATAAGATTATAAAAAAGAAAAGGAAGGTTCATAGCAAGCAGGTCATAATACAGTAGTAGTTTGCTTTGCCTTTGTCTTGGTTTTCAGGATCCTTGATTTTGAGTGTTAGAACCTTGTAATTTCAACAGCAAAAAATAATGCTTTGGTTGTCACTAGGATGTGTAATAGCTATACATATAGAATTCCGAGGATGATAGTAGCCAAAGTTGTGGAGTTGAACTCGACTTTTGGTTCCTAATCTTGAAGGTTTTGATTAAAAATCACATTCCCAATTCCAGAAATACTTACATGCTGGACCAGAATTCTTAGGCTGGTAGACCTATGGAATCAGTTCAATATTATATGATTCAGTTACTCTTCTTCAAGATTTAATTCAGAAATGCTTACGGCTGGATCAGAATTCTTAGGCTTGTAGACTCAATTGAATCAGTTCAATATTATGTGATTCACCAGTAACTCTTCTTCGAGTTTTAATTCAGTTCTATGTCGATTTGGGTCGATTCAATTTGCTTCTGAGTTGGACAAAACCATGCTTATACTATTTGGCCCCGATTCTTGATCGAACAAACCTGAGTCCCACCATGCCTATCTCACCACACCAATATATATCATATATGCAATCAAACTCCCAAATGAAGCCAGAAACAGAAAGTTTTGATTGTTGTAGTAAAACATGACTGATAGTTTCCACATAAAAACTTTTAACTATCTGTTCAATCATATATGATATATCCATCCCCCTAGAGGTTTATTGCTTAGTTGGTATGTACACACAGCAAGAGGAGAAATCCAAAAAAAGTAGACTCTTGAGCTCAACAGCAGAATCAACTACTGGTAAAGGAAAGCCAACAACCTAAAAGAAAGCTTTCTTTCCCTAGTCTGCTTCAACCAAAGCAAACCCCATGAGAGCCCACACAAGCACACACGCACAAAAGCCAAGGATGATTTGCCTCCACATCTGGTCTGCCTGAGGTGGTCACTGGATTGCAACAGACCTCTGAGAAGCCCGACTCGAGATGCTCCCACGGTGCTGGATCGAACAGTCTCCATCCTCTCCACCATGCCCACCGCCGTCTATGTTTCTGTATTGGTGACCCTCAAAGCGACCTTGGGGGTGGTGGACTCTGCCCTCGTGTTGATGACCTTTGGACGAGTTCCAAGTTTCGCTGGATAGCAGTGGCTCAGAACCAGACGATCCCCCAGATTGAGATGAGGGGGCAGGACCGGAGCCGCTTCTCCTGATCTCAGCAGCTGAGCTGTTTGAAGCATTATTCAGCCCGGTTTTCTTGGCGAAACGTCCTCCAGCACCACGCGCCCTCCTCATTGCATGTTTATGTCGGGATTCGTGGAGATACGGCTGAGAGAAATATCGAATATGCAAAAGTTCAGAAGTACTACCAAGTGAATTCTGGTCCACATTGCTATACAAAATAGAAACTGATTAAATATCCACCAACATCAGTTTCATATACTAAGTCATGCTGGGACATCTTTAACTCGAGGAGATGCAAATTACAAAAGGTTCAGCATTGCGATAACATTAGTCATAAATTCCATAACCAGAAAAAGGAGCATAGACATCTACCTTCCGTACTTTAATGAGCTTTTTCTCGACTTCTGCTTTCGCTCGGGCCTGTCTTCGCCTCAAAATACCTTGGTACTGTTTCGCATTCACGTAAACAGGTTCCTGGGCCATCTCAAGGGGCAACGGCATTCTAGTCTGGGGAACTCCAACAAGATGAGGGTAGCCCTGAGATCACGGTAACACATCAGACGTTTCTAATTCCAGGAAGGTTGCAGAAACAATTCACAATTAAAGAAGTTACTGACAATAGAACACTCAGAATATAGCTAACAAGATGATAGATTTGGGTGGTGGATTGCTGCCCTAAATCCATCATCAGATGGATTTCCAAAATCTTTGGTTTGGATGGTATTGATTGGTGGTGGAATGTGGCAACTTAGACATGGGTGGAATTGAACATGCTAGCTTGGTAGGTGATATTTTGAAATCTCCAGACTCCACTAATTTTTTCCATACTTAATTTCGCAACTTACACTAATGCCCGCTAATAAAATAAGTGGTAACATTAAGGGCCAGTTAGCCTTTTAATCACAACTCCCACGATCCATCCCCACAATCTACTACATTTTCATAATCCACCACCCACCATAGTTAGTAAAATACGGTATGGGAAAGTTACGTAAAAGATACGTACGGGCATTATACTTCATCTTTAAGCTAAAATTACGTTTAATAGTACGTTAATAGTCATAAATATATAAAATTAATCATTTTAAAAATAAATATATAAATAATAGTAAAGTTAACAATTTAATTCGTAAAATACGGATAATAAACGTGTTATACGGGTTTTATACGTGTTTAGTACGGGAACCATGAAATGAACGGGGGAAAATGAAACGGCTTGACAATAATACGGATACGGAAGTTTTAAACGGATAAAGTACGTACGGGTACATATACGTGTATTAAACGGAGTATTTACTAACTATGCCACCCACATCTATTTCAAAACCATCATTTTTTCACAATCTTGTTTCAACAATCCAGCAGCCAAACAAACCCCTTAATCAAGCATTAGACAGTAATATTACCAAACATCCCGAAAACAATAACTGACATACCAACGGCTGCTGTGCATAAGCTGCCATCATTCCACTGTAGTATGGATCCTGATAGGGGTTTGGTGCACATGTCTGCAAAAAAGAGAAGTCGGACAACAAGGAATCAGTTATCTTAGGAAGTGAGAACAAATTGTTTCAACTCTAGCAAGCAGCTCAATCCCTAAAAGCACCCCGTTAGTTAATTCCCCTTTCATCCTTTAAAATGTGTACAGTTCTGTTTTTCTTTTGCTTTCTCTGTAGTGAAACAATGGAAGATTGTTATGCAGAAGTGCATACAATAGAGTGACCGACGAGTTCAAATTGCGGAGGCTGTGCGAGCGTCTGATCCAGAGCCGTAGTAGTCATGCCTGGAGGAACATTCTGCGGATTGGGATGCTCATGTCCATGATTCCCGACTGATAAAAAGGGACGATTGAAGAACAAGCAAAAAGAAAGCACAATGGTCAGTCCTGTACACTTTCTGCTTGTGACATACCGATACTCGAAGAAATAACCGTAAGAAACTAAATTTACATAAACTGTGAAATCTACAACTACGGCTAAAATGTCATCCTAGCTTCAGTAACTAGATAAGATCTGAAATTGCACGAGAACAGAAGCTATTAAATTAAAACTCTCATGAAACATAGGGTCGAAACGTGACTAAAGCACTACAGAGATATACATTGACATTACAGGATGAAAGTACCAAGAAGAAAGCTAAAACTGAAATACGCCTGACCAGAAGGTACTTCATAAAGAATTAAGTTCCTCGTGACTTGGGTTATCAATCAGAATGCAAATTGTGGCATCTCTGAGTCACCTGATCGAGAAGATGCAGTAGCTTGTGATTCTTTTGCAGCATCATTGTCCTCTTCCTCGTTTGTTCTGTCATCCGAGACAGATTGATCATCAGTTGATTCAGATCCCTCGGTTGAATTTTTGGCATTTCCTATGGGCATGCCTGCAGCTACAGAGTGATATCCAACACCGCGCCACCACGGTTCAGAAGGAACTCCATACGATGGACGGACAACGTGTGAATCTGGTGGCAGGCTATGTCCAGCACCAGGTTTCGACTGCATTGCCTCCTTCTGCTACTTCAGGCGGCTACCGATTTCGCAACTAACCCAGATGTATATATAACTGCAAAGCACCAACATTTGCAAAAGACAATTGAGGTGTAATATAAAAGTTTTCATTCTCTAATCTTCATACAAAATTGAGCTCTAGATGCCTACTAAACTCACAATTGACACATCCGATACGTGAAACTACTACGATTCCACAAGAATTTTGTACATCAAGACACCTGAAATTTCACAACCCTAGTGAGAATTTCCCATTATAGATGCAAAGCAATCAACTTTTAAGCAATCTAATCACGCCATGCAAAAGCTTTACCCCCCTCTCCAACCCTAAGAACTCCCAAATCCTTCGCCCCCCATGTTCAGACATGTCTGCAGTTGGGGAAGCATACGTGCGAATCTGGAGAACCAACCCCTCCAGCCGCCCAATTATCCTTAGCCTAACTGAAAGACTAAAAAGTCAAACTTTGATGAACAGTCGGGCGAAATTGAGGTTTTTCTGTTACAACAATCACAAAGCCAGCAGCAATTGAAGCAAACCCGACAAATTCCACCGCAGTACACAAGCAATCGGACAAAAGAAAGAAAGGGAGGAAAACAGAGGACTGCGGCGGCCGGCTGGCGGGGGAGAAAGGAAAGAAGGGGAAGAAGAAGAAGAAAAAATAACCGTGGGATTCAAGGCGAAAAGGGGGACATGCAAATCGGGGAGGGAAACTGATCGATTGGAAGATCATTGAAAAGAGAAAGCCAATTAGGGGAAAAAGTAGTAGTAAGCAATTGGGAAGGGACACTTACAAGTGGGCAGGGGAGAACCCTAAATTGGGTTGGCGGGGAAGTTGAAGGTTAGACGGTGGATAGAAAGGGAGAGACAGAGAGAGAGTCAATGAAGATTCTTGGTGGAGTGTCTGTAAGAAGGGAGACGAGGAGAGAGAGAGAGAGAGCAGGGGAGGAAGAAAGGAGGAGACTTTGGTGATGACAGACAATGTGCCTCCACGTAGGTTTCAGCGGGGAGACACCTGGGTTCACCTTCCTCCTCCACCCGCTAGCTAAGCTATAAAAGCTACAGTTTCCTTGTTGGTCTTTTCTCTATTTCATGATCTTGTCCTCTTTCTCTCCTCTGTTTTTGTCTCTTTCCCTCCTATGTCCTCTTCAATTTGAGAGAGGCTTCAAAGGATAGTTTGGCTTGTAAACGTGGGAGTTGATGAAATCTAAAATATATTTTGGAGTGGAATTAGAATGACTTCACAAAAAAGATTGGATTATCCACTTTCTTTGGTTTGGATGTGTGTTATTTCTTTCTTTCTTAAGGTGTAAGTGGATAAGAAATCTTGATTCTGAAAGTTGAAAATGTGAATTAATTATTCGGTCTTAACTTCAATAATGAAGTTAGAGGGGAGATATGAATTGGGAATAAAGTACGAATGAGAGTGGCTGAAGACATCAACTAAAATTTAGTTACGAAGAAAATGATAATACGAATGAGAGCGCTTAAGCTCCACTTGAAAAGTGCATGATTGTGGATACCATTATTGTACCATATCACTCTATATTACTACTAGCATTTTACCCGGCCTGTTGGCCGGATGAATTTTGTTATCCCCACTAATATGTGCAACAGGGTCTTCAAACTGACTTAAACTATCAAACCAATCACGTAAATGTTATAAAAAGCAACAGTCGAATCAAGCTCCAACATGTTTAACCTGTATTAAACATATTGTAAAAATATATGTTAATAAAGTATATATTACAATTTTAATAACTAACAAAATACATATTAATAAGTATCATCTTATAAATTTGTTCAATATATAACAAACTTTCTCACACAACCCCTTCTTCCTATGCCCACTTTGTCTCCCTCCCCTTTTCTTCTTTTGTCTCTATCGCTCTATATCTTTAAACCTCTATCGTTCATTGATTTTCTATCGGGCTTGAAGTTTATAGATGATAATTTATCTTCACTAAGCCCAATGTAATGTTCAAAAAAAAAATTGTACTCATTATAACTTTTTCGGCCTTTCAAACAGCTGCTACAGTTTAATAGAAATGCCCCTCCAAAAATTTCCTAGGGTTGTTTGGATTATAGATTACGGTGTGGATTTTCTCTCACAATTGCACATAACATGTGATTGTCCCAATTTCAACGTCTAGAAAGGGACTCTCGAATAAGAGATTTAGAGGTCCGAAAATTTTGAAACCCACAAAATATGGAATTTAAAGTTTAGTCATTCAAAACCCACATTTCCCATTCATTCCTTCCAAACTTATCATTGCTACTTTTCTTTCGTCTTCCTCCTCGATCCTCTCTTTTCCCGACAAACCTCCTAAAGTTTCGAGATTCCCCTGGCCCAACTTTCTTCGGTAGATTCTTTGTTATCCCTTTCCCTTCCCGATCCACTCACCACTCTCTAGCCATCTCATATCTCCATCCACCATATCATCTATTCTTCATGTCATTTGTTTTTCTTTGATCCGTTTTGTTTTCAAGAGAGTAGTCCTTAGTACAAATTTATGTATAATATTGGGTTTCCGATGATATTGTCGACAACCATGTTATAATTGAAACATTGACTTCCATGTTCATTAAATCATGTGCTTTATGCAACTTTATTCCATCCTGCCAAATATAACTTCTCCAACAAATTTGTAAACGATCTTACGGTGTACATTTTTGCATGTATTGGAATGTGAGTGTTCATCTCATTGCATCATTGCGTAGTGAGTTCCTTCGAACTTATAACCACATTTTCTCTTCTTGGTGCTTTGTTTATTTTCTTTTGGTTCATTTCTTGAGGGAGGTTTCTAGTGGGATGTTATCACTCATCTGCATTAGGCTCCTTATTCTTCTTGCCGCTAGCTTTCTTCCCTCTGGTTCGAGCTTGAGAATCCGCGAATTCCTTTTTATCTTCTAGTGGGCCTAAACAAACGGCCCATAAATTGATGGAGTGCTGGAAAGTTTAGTTTTGCAGTAAATAACCTATAACTGTGGTTTGTCTTAAATGTCCCTCCGTAAATTAGGGGTTGTTTTCCGGAAGCTGACATGGCAGAAATCTCATATACTCTCCTGTATATATATCAGGGTTCAAGAAGGCGCGCCTAGGCTCAATTAGGCGCTAGGCGGTGGAGGATCGCCTTGACTTGGCCATAGGCGTTGTAAAAGGCGCTGGTAGTGCTTAGTAGGTAGGAATATCGCTTAGTTTGCGCCTAGTGGAGAGAAGGCGTGCCTGGGCGTTTCTGGGCGAGCTTAGGCGGTTAAACCCAATACTCTTTGTTTTGTCCTAGAAAATCAGAAAATTGACTCTTGCCCTAGAAAATCAGAAACACGGGAAGGGGATGACCATGCTATGTATGTATTCATAGATGAGGATTAGGAATCATATTGTGCACCCTCGAGTACTGTTATAGATGCAATGGCGGGTGAACAGAGTAAACTTCGCGGGAGCGCACGAGTGAGAGAGCTACATGATGAAGAATTAGAGTCTGAAGAGGAGGAGGATGGTGAGGAGATTGCTTTTGAGGATGATGAAGATGAAGTGGTGGCTGGACGGACCTACTTGGATGATGAAGAATGAACATTTTTCTATGAACTTATTGACTATTGTTTAGTATTTCGACATTTTATGAACTTGTGATTCTAGTAAGTGGTCACTATTTGCTTGTTATTTGTTATGTTAAGTGTTTACTGTTAAGAACTAGGCGTTGCTAATTTTATATGCACTTGGATTATATGAATTATTCGAGAAAACATGAAATATTTGAGAACTTTTTCCATTTATGCTCTGAACGCCTAGGCGCGCCTAGGCTACGCCTAATTAGGCAAGGCGCAAGTCAGGAGCCGAGCGCCTGCCTTACGCCTAGCGCCTTTTAGAACCTTGAATTATATATTGGTGTGGATGTGGATCATACTACCATGTACCATCATCGCATTATCAATTATTAGCCAAATATATGATTTTTTTTTGTGTGGAAAGTAGTCCGTAAATAGATTCAATCGTCTTTTCGGCATATCTCATATTAAACACAAAAAAGCATATCGCATAAGAGAAAATGTGGTTATTTGCCTAAATACCGATCATGACCGTGATGGTAAATCGTCAATTGTGATATAGGAGCTAAAGAAAATATGCATACCACCATAGTGGGAAAGGCCATAACAGTTAAACACGATGGTAACCAAGCTCAGAGCTGCCACAATTTATGCCAACAACCCATGCCTCTAAACACCTTCTTGCTTCTTAACACTACGCCTTCTGCGGCCTCATGCTGATATGTTCCCCTTCTTCCGATGACCATAATGTTCTGTTATCAGATGAAAAGATTAGAAACCATCAAACCAAACAATATAAAGAAAGTGGAATGCCATCTCTCTCTCTCTCTCTGCATATCTTAACTTCATTCAGAATCAGTTTGTTTAACTGTGCATAAGTTAGTGAGCTCCTAAACCTTGCAGAGAGGAATTGTCGCAGAAAAGAGCAGGGGAAATAGAATAGCAAACTATCACAAAACAGAGGGCACTTAGTTTACCAATTACAGAGGGAGTTGCTCTGCTGCTCTGAACCAAACAGTCGTAGCTTCCATTGTACATGGCTCGCAAATCGTTGTAGCGTGGAATCGGAGTAGGCCAGCAAGAGACCCTGGGCCGAAACGGCTTCCAATGAGGTTTACCAACTAGCGTCGGTTCAGCGAAGAACTCCATCTCCCCGCTCCCTAAATCACAGGACAAGATAGCTACACTCCTATCAACAAACTGTAAGAAGACGATTTCCGGATCGTTCGGATGCAGATCAAGTAGTACATTACATTTGTGAAGTTCATAGTTACTACACTTTGGCCTCTCCAACAAGACTTCGTATTGTTTCCTCCAAGACTTGCGGTCCTCGTTCATCCTCCACACGGTTAGGGTGTTCGTCGAAACATCACTTCGACCCATATCCGAGAAACCACTCTGGCTCGGAATTTTTAGGCGCTAAAGGAAGGGCGACCCATTGCTTCGTGAACGGATTGCAGACAAAGTACGCTCTGTCCAATTCGGCAGCAATGCCATAAGACGACTCCACGAAATCAAGTCCTTGAAGCAATCGAAAACTCGCGGGTTCGGTCGAGCTCCATCGGGCACGGGGAGAAAGCAGAGGATCGCTTGGGGGTCGTTGGAGGGAAGAAACAGAGACGGTGGTGGTGGGTGGTTACTGCTCCGGCGGTGAGAGATGAAGCGGCGAGTGAAGCTGCTGCTGGGATCAGAGATGAGGGAGTTCCACCGCTTGCAGACGGCTTTGCACAGGAAGGCGGATCGAGGGTGCGGGAGGCGGATCAGGATTTCTACCAGGAGATCGTCAACGAGTTTGCTGATCATGGCAGGGGCAGGGTTTCCGTCTGAGCAGAGTCGCCGTCGTTTTCTTGGGGACAGATCCCGATCCGAGTTGCGCTTCTTCGTTGGCATAGTAGATAAACGGACGGAAGGATGGATTTTTTTACAGAGAGGCCGAGAGCGAAGACATTGAAAATCCTTTTTTATATGTAGGGCTGCCTATGTTTTTTTTTTGGGTTGACTTCTCCCAACTTGATATGGATTATTCTTTCCAAAAAAAAAAAAACTTGATATGAATTAACTCACTTGGGTTTGAATGCGATAGATATCGATTAATTATTTGTTATTGTGTAGGATCATATAATCACCTCAAGTAATTGCAAAGAATTTTATTAGATTTGCTTATTGGGATTAGTTTCAAAGATTAGAAGATCACAAAGTATGAGGCGATACTTTCATGGTCATAGGAGTTTGGTTAATTGTTCATCTATTTAAAGATAGGAAAGAAATCAAGAAAGCTTCTTGATATTGTAGAAAATGGGAGTTGCATTGTAACACTATGAAGTTACTAGATAATTTCAGTAAATAGTTCACATAATATAAAAAGTTCTTCACAATTTTTGTGCTTGTTATACTAATTCATATTATATAAATGATCATATGCAAGTGATGAACTTCGTTGCTATATAGTGTTATTTGTTGACCTAAAACTTCAAATGCATTCACAAATTTCTTCTCAAAAGAGAGGGGGAAAAAATGAAACTTGAAAGTGATGTATGTTAATTTTTTTTAAAAAAATATGTTCTAAGATATGGGAGGAAATTAAAGAATCTAATTCCAAACCTCTCCTTGCATCTCTCAAATATCAATGGCTACCCCCAAAGATGGATTAATTGGTGCAATTGAAGAAAGCCGCCAGATCCTCAGCAAGTCGAACCAACGACTCACGTTCCTCGGTGCCCCATTGGCCCTCCGCTGCCACTCGCCGCCGGTCATCGACTCTCTGGAAGCCCAACAGTTTCTTCGTTGGAGATTGAGGGTGTTAAGAAAATGAATAAGACCCCTCCGGCCGCCCCTGCCGATGCCACTAAGTTGACGACGACTCCAACTCTCAACTTTCTGCCTGTCCGCACTACCAATCGGCTCCTTCCTTCTCTGCTGGCTGGGGTAAAAGGAGATTTCTGGTGATATTTTCCAAATTCTTGTTTTTGTGATATGCTACCTTATTTCAATTTGGGATTCAATTGTTCGTTTGGACTTTGTTCTCTTTGATTGCCTTGGTATTCTTCTCTATTTAGATTGGTTCATTTGTAGTATGGTGCCTTACTTAACTTTCACTCATTTCATATTAGTTTCAGCTTGCCCTAGTTTATTTTGGTTCTGCTTGGTCGACGCTCGACGCGCTCTCTTGCTTCTGTTTGTCTGTGTTTTTCTCTGGGTTGGGACTGATGGATGCAGGGTTGATAGTTTTGGATTTCACTTTCCATCCCTCGCGTCCATCGTCTGGACCTCTACTCTGCCGCCGTGCTTCTCCCGACTTGAAGCGGTGGTGGGCTGTGGGGTGGGGCACCGGACACGTGTCAATATTGATGAACATGAACAGTAGACAAGTGGCCATCTTCTTCAGCGGTGTGGATGACTGCGTGAGGCCGCGTGGCAGTAGCTCTGAAAACGGCCAAGTTTATTCATAAATTTATATAAATTTATAAATAAAAGAAAAATCAGTGTTGGGACATGGGCCACTCTCATGGGCTTATCCGTTCGTATTGATGGGCTTGAAGGGCCTTTTTCTTAAGCTTTTGGCTTGTGGCTTTCTCTTTGTTTGTTTTGCAGGTATATTGTTTCAGAAAGTCTTCTTCCTTGGGCTTTTGGTGTAATGGGCTAATTCAATTCACCATATGTGTCCCGGCAGATCCTAGCTGGTAGCAGGGAGAGCTTAAGTCGTAGTTTCTTTTCTTATTTGTGCAATTTCGACTATTAGAGCTCTTTTAGTGATTTGTCGAGAATCAATTCTTATTTGAGTATTTGAGCTCTTTAGTGATATGGGCCTGTCTAGGTCTTAGTTTTCTTGTTTTGCAGCGTTGCAGGTGGTGCTGCTGGTACCTATTTAGTTGCATCCACATTCAGATCGTGACAAAGCTGCCTTGTCTCTTTATTCTTAGGAACTAACAGAGCTGCCCATTTAGTGGCATAAATGGCTCTTTCATCGCTAGTTCGATTAGTATCGACTGACGTTATTTTTATCCATTGTAATCATATATGTCTACTATTTCATCTGACTATGATATAAAAAAACGGCGACCCCAATTTTTTTTAATACAATCAACCTGATAATATCATTCCAAAGTTATAGTTCTTTTATTTAACTATGCGTTCCTTTGAAGGGTATACAACAAAATGTCTCGGCTGACAAGTTCATGGCGTTTATGGACTTGTTCAAGGGTTAGAAACTGTTTGCTGGTTTCTTCTCAACCCGGCTAGATCCATACCTACATGAGTTTGAGGTAAAAAAAAAAACATGTGCTGAGAGCTAGGAGAGAAGCAAACCTATCTGAGTTGATGAAGACTCTTGATAGAGTTACTAGTTTGAATTAGAGTGAGCAAGACCTCAAAGCTCACATCCTAACATTTCAATATATCTTTAGTGACTTATTTACTAGGAATAATAAGAATGTCTGCAATTTGTTAATGAATAATAAGGGCTCTCGTGCTGGCTGCAATTGAGGATGGGGATGGTTGATATGCTCTGAGAGCCATTTATTTCAATTTTGGATTGTGAGATGTTTCATCTTATGCATTGACACCTATTGACTAGTAACTGAAACGTTCTGCATTGTTCTCCTCTTGTTTTCAAACAACAGGTGCTGTCTTTTCAGTGCATTTATGCTATGCAAGGAAAACATGAGAACACATCTAGGCGTGAGAGAGGGGAACAAAGGAGTGACGTTTACTCATCACAATATGTCTACGCGTAGGTCTGGCAGCACTAACACCTGAATTTATCCTTCTTCATCTAAGGATGGAAAATGAGTAAGTGACGAGTTAAAAGGAGTGAGAAAAGAATAATCGATGTTCCCCTGCCGGGAGTGACGACCGATCGAAATGACTCGATTAATCTTCCAAGAAAAAAATTGGCAAACATAAAAATGGAATGTGAGTGAGCAGGGATGGAGCTTGGATTTAGACGCGCTATTTTGCTTTTATGCTCCTTTTTTTTATATTAACGCAATACCTGTATATAGGTTTGTCACATTACAATCAAGGGCATCGAGCTTTTCACGAATCTCAGCCCTCATTTTGTACCCAACATAGTGGAAACAATAATCCCACTATTGTTGTCTAAGTAAAAGTGAAAAAACAAAAGAAGAAATTGCGTGATTTGAACCATTATTTCATGCCATACAATTAGGGCTGGGAAAATAGACCAGACCGTTAGAAAAACCGTGGTCCAAACCGTACCACACAGTTTGGTCCGGACCGTAGACCGTGAAGTATGGTCTGGTCTGGTCCATGGTCTGTATTATTTTATGATTTGATCTCTTGGTCTGGTCTGGTCTAGACCGCGGTTTACCGGACCAAACCGTAGACCCAACTGACTTGTCAATACGTGTTAACAACCCATTCGACCACTCTCCAAACTCCCACAACGACACCCAAGTCTCAACCTTAATTTTGTGAATCTCTTCCCTCCTTCATTCACAACCACATTTAACCACAGAGTAGAGATAATCGTGTCTCCATATGACATTATGTTAATGTTTATGACATTATGGTGCAAGCTGAGATGCTTTTACTTTGTATCTTTGTTATGTACTAAGATTTAGAGTATCAAAATTATTCATGCATGTTAGGATTAATGTTTTAAGGCAAATAACAATTATTTTTCTTGGTTATTGGTTCAAGTTTTTGTGTGGTTGACTAAACAAATTATTCATTTTTCGTTGAGTGTGGTCTATCTGAACCAGACCAGACCGAACCAGACCGCACAGGCGTGGTCTGGACCAGACCGTATAGTCTGTGGTCTGGTCCGTGGTCTATACTTTAGCCTCTCGGTCTGGACCGTAGACCGTATATATGGTCTGGTCTGGACCAGACCGCACAGTTTCCCACCCCTACATGCAATGCATCTATATGATGAGATATGGGAAAGTAGTTCATTTTTGCATGGCCATCATTTATATTCTCCCGTACTTGAATAAAGGCAAAGGATTTGGCCACCCCCTTTCATTTCATCTCATCATTTAGTTCGCAAATTGCACTTCACTATCTCATATTTAATTTGTTCATATATATATGCACATTTTCTCTATGAGGATACAATATCCAAAGAGCTGAAACATAAATGAAAACTATAGTCGTAAGCAAAATTTTGCTAGCAAAAATATGTTTTAACTTTAGAAGTAAAATAAGAAGGAAGGGATGTTTTTCTCTTATCTATAATTTTCTCAAATATCTAATTGTTTCGCTAGCTAGTTATGAAACTCTTCACATTCCCCCCCCCCCCCTTTTTTCACATCTATAGTAACGATTGATTGTGTTCGACTCCCTGATGTTGTTATTCATGTTACCACTTGCTCATATTGATGACCGATCGAATCTATGATGTAAAGAAACTGATAGAGCATGTTGATGTGGACATGTGGTAATGATATACACTATCAATATTTTAGTTTATACATTATGATTAACATTATTGATAAAAATAAAAACTAAATCTATCCACATCAATAACTGTGAATTATTATAAACCAAATGATCCCAATAGCTCAAAGAGAATTTCATGTATGGTATTTAACCATTTACTTACACGCCCTTCAAACGAGAGATACCAAACTAAACTTCCCCTTACATGGACAAAGTAGTTTAATTAGAGATCCCAAACTAAACTTTCATACAAAAACATCTCACGATACAAAAGATAACTAATTAAGCAACGAATGTTTCATTTATTGTTTTTTTTTTTAATATAGCGAAAATGAAAGTGAAGGAACTATATGAACAAAGATATGATAAATGGTTGGACTTTGCTACGGTGACATGCATGTCACGGTGACATGCACTTTTCGGTCGACCTAATCAATTGTTTCAGTGTACAAACAGTTTCATAGTGCCTACTTTAGAGATTCATATCT